TTTTTTTTTTATTTAATTTCAATTTGACTACTTAATTATGCATTGAAATATATTTTTATTTCAATTAAGTATATATATTGGCTTATAATAATGTTTTTAGTGGACGTAACTACATAAATTATTTTTTCCAAATTTAGACTTGAGCCACTTTCATTCTCTGGGTACATGTCCACATATTCCTATCACAACACCACTGTCCGATTAAACTAATACCAGTAATATTAAAAACAACACACAAAAACTTCTACAATGTTCAGATCTATCATATAGATATGTTTTTAAATAAAATTCTCGTATCTATTTAGCGACTTGAGCTATTTGATTGCACTTCGTAATATTGCTTATAAAGAGAATTTCTTAGACACAACAATAAAACACATTCACGAGACAAAAGTTGGACAACTATCAAATAAAATAAAGATCAGTTGGAACGGAGATTATTCCTTATGAAAGTGAGAGAGTCGAGAAATATTCTGAGTTATAGAAGAAAAAAGTAATCCACAGTGACGATACTACAAACTATATAAGTTAAAAAAAAAAGAAACTATATATTTTGTTCTGAATTGAATACATTAGAAAGTTAAGTAATAAAAAGTTTATTGACTGTTCACTTGCGACTACTATTTGTCAAAGTACTTTCTTTACGTGCATGAAATTCATTTTTTTCCCGAACATCACAAATGAGATTTAACCTAATTCTACCTACATGACCTTTTCTTAATATAATCATATTACATACTATTACAACAAGTTTCTACTGGGAAACTAGAAAAATTGTAATATACATTTAGAATTTTATTATTATTATATATATAATATATATTTCTATATTTCAAATCCATGGTTAATCACAATACAGCAAAATTGTATATATCATGAAGATATGCAGTGGAACTAGTGACTCCAACTTTAATTGTAACATTAATATAAATTATCAATGTTAAGCAATACGTTCATATTCGAATTATTTAAATCTCCAGATATAATTTAATAATTGGATTATATTTAACAATATTTCGTCATAAAGTCACCTTTTTAAAAAAGAGTGGTCAAAGGAAATCATAATAAGAAAATTCACATCAAGTATACCACAATATGTTATCATATTTTGTGCGATGAAGTAACACAGGTATGTATGTAATAAAATCAACATAGCAGCGCTTGTATTATAATCTTCAATTCTATTGCTTTGCAAATAAAATTAATAAGTTATTGACATATTTACAAGTTATTGATATACGCATATATTTCAATGTATTTACTACTGTTCAACAATGTTCGAGTATTGGTTTTAATGTAAATGTACACACGGTAACATATTGAGGTGGCCACCAACGTCATCCTACCTTAATCTATTTCCAACATTACGTTAGCGTTTTAAGGTTAAAACTCGATCGAAGATTTGTCCGCTATGGTGTAATATTATAATCTAATGTGCATAAATACGTACAGTGTCGTCAATACGTGTCACCGCTGATGTTTCATGTGATCGGGTCGTTGTTTAGGGCGGTAGGTTAATCTGCAAGTTCTGGAGGTATGCAGATGTAGAGTTGAGTAAGCCAATGCGTTGTTTCTGCTTCCGTTGCTCCGTCATCTAAACATAAAGTCAGCAGATGTAAGGTTTTTAAATGTAAGGTTTCTATTATTAGGCAAGAAATAACTTATTTATTAAATAATAATTTGATGCCTACGTGTAAATAAAATACATAATATTTTAGTTGTCATTGATTTAATTTTATTTGTGATTAACTCGGTGATATACTTGAGATTGACAATTAGATTCGAGTAAAAATAAATAATAAATTTATTTTTAAGTATCGGCATGATATTGTTTGATATTTTGATTTTGATAATAAAATTATCAATTTGTAAAGCTATTATTAGAAAAACTCAATCATTTTATTGATTGAATAAATTATACCAAGAAGAACTTTATATGCCGACGATAGTACTATTTAATTTAACTATGATCTCTTAAGCAATACCAAATCTGATATATGTAATACACTTAATTCCTTAATCAATTGGCTGACACTAAATAATTTGACAATTAATTTTAGCAAAACAAACTTAATGAACTATTATCAAAGTAATAATGATTCATCTAGTCTTAAAATTAATTACCTAGATAATGCAGTAAAAGTCAACAAAATTTCTAGGTCTTACTATAGATAGCAAGTTATGGAAATCCCACATTGATAATTTATTAAAAAAATTAAAGCAATTCTCATATGCGCATCACAAATTGAGGAAAGTTGCTAACATTAAAACAGTACTAATAGCTTATCACGGATATGTTGCTTCAAATCTAAGATATGGCATATATTTCTGGGCTAACACTATAAACAAACCATCTTCAGAGCCCAAAAGAGATGTCTAAGATCCATGTTCGGACTAATGCAGGAAGACTCGTGTGAACCATACTTTCGCAAGCATAAAATTCTTACACTGCCGTCTATGTATATATATGAAATTGCAAGTTTGTTAGAAGCAACTCACACTATTTTGATATAAATCCAATTGGAAGTCGTCGGGAAGGCACTCTAAAGGTCACTCATAAACTTCTCTTCTGTGTGGGTGTGGGTGTGGGTGTATACCTGGTCCCTCAGGTCGGTGAGCAGGCCGGTGAGCGTGGCGACGGCCCGCTGCGCGCGTGTGAGTGTGTGTAGGTGTGGGTGTGGGTGTGGGTGTGGGTGTATACCTGGTCCCTCAGGTCGGTGAGCAGGCCGGTGAGCGTGGCGACGGCCCGCTGCGCGCGTGTGAGTGTGTGTAGGTGTGGGTGTGGGTGTGGGTGTGGGTGTATACCTGGTCCCTCAGGTCGGTGAGCAGGCCGGTGAGCGTGGCGACGGCCCGCTGCGCGCGTGTGAGTGTGTGTAGGTGTGGGTGTGGGTGTGGGTGTGGGTGTATACCTGGTCCCTCAGGTCGGTGAGCAGGCCGGTGAGCGTGGCGACGGCCCGCTGCGCGCGTGTGAGTGTGTGTAGGTGTGGGTGTGGGTGTGGGTGTGGGTGTATACCTGGTCCCTCAGGTCGGTGAGCAGGCCGGTGAGCGTGGCGACGGCCCGCTGCGCGCGTGTGAGTGTGTGTAGGTGTGGGTGTGGGTGTGGGTGTGGGTGTATACCTGGTCCCTCAGGTCGGTGAGCAGGCCGGTGAGCGTGGCGACGGCCCGCTGCGCGCGTGTGAGTGTGTGTAGGTGTGGGTGTGGGTGTGGGTGTGGGTGTATACCTGGTCCCTCAGGTCGGTGAGCAGGCCGGTGAGCGTGGCGACGGCCCGCTGCGCGCGTGTGAGTGTGTGTAGGTGTGGGTGTGGGTGTGGGTGTGGGTGTATACCTGGTCCCTCAGGTCGGTGAGCAGGCCGGTGAGCGTGGCGACGGCCCGCTGCGCGCGTGTGAGTGTGTGTAGGTGTGGGTGTGGGTGTGGGTGTGGGTGTATACCTGGTCCCTCAGGTCGGTGAGCAGGCCGGTGAGCGTGGCGACGGCCCGCTGCGCGCGCTCGAGCTGCGCCTGCAGGTTCCGCACCTCCAGCTCGCCGCCCTCGCCCTCCCGCCCGCCCATCAGCGACAGCGCGCGCAGCCGAGGGAACCAGTCCAAGTTGTTCGACTGTACCACCACACGACAGAGCAACGTTCTTATTAATATTAATGGATTGTCCGAGGCTGACAGCAGACCGACGCACTTGATTACTTCAATGCACGCTAGATTACAATCGGTAGATTTCTTAGCAAATGTTTAATTTACAGTTTAATAGACGCGATGCCTACGATCAATATTTCGAATCATGTTGTCCATGATTCGAAATATTGAATTTTGTTCTTCGTATTGCATGGAAAATATTTTTAGCCATATTATTCATATATTATACATCGAGTTCGGTGGCGTAGTGGATAAGCGTCGCGGCAAGCGATCGTTGTTGTTAAGTAACTTTCGCAAAGGTCGGTCACGGGATGGGTGACCAAAAACAAATTATCTCGAGCTTCCCGTGCTCCGTGTTTCGGAAGGCGCGTTACGCCGTTGGTCTCGGTTGCATTTGCAGTCGTTGATACTCTCCAATCCGCATTGGGCCAGCGTGGAGGGTCATGGCCCGTCCTCCTTAACTATCCATAAGGAAGTAAGGCCTTCCTTAAGGCCTCTACAGTGTGGACGTAACAGGACTGATACTCATAATATTCATTCATTTCAACGTCATTTGTTAATTTCATGTTTTGAAGTATATTCTATCACTCGCATACAGCGTTCCCTAAACGACGAATGGTTAGCTACTAGTTGCAGTCGAGCGAATTAGAAATAGCGAATTTGTTTTGTTAAGAAGAATGATTCAAAATTAGAACTCCTGATCTGACAGACGCGCTACAGTCGCGCCACGGAGTCGTCGACGACGGTATAATGGGTTAATACAGACACGGTATCGATTATGATACAGATAAAGTATCTGATAACGAAATCAGTAAAGCGGGACTAAGGATGATGACACATTTATTTTTTGTTTGTCCGCCAGGCAGATTGTTGAGACATATTAAATACGTATTTTTTAATTCGGCGTTATCTTTAAATTATAGCAATGCATTGAGTTAAAATGGCTCACGAAGTTTTTTGCACATTTCCTACAAAACTGCGTCAGTTTTGTAGGAATCCAGCCCCACCTCCTCAACTTTAAACCTTAATTAATAGAAAAATATTGCATACGTATTTCTTTTAACTTAAATTTCATTTAAAATTTTTTAAATTTCAAATGTCAATGAGGAAGTATTTTAAAATCACTAAAAAGCATCTCACTAGATAGCAACTCTAGAAAAAGTTGATTTTTCCAGGAAACCAAGGGGCCAAAGATAGTCATTTCCGTTCCTTTTAAGTACCATACTAAAAAACTGAAATTCGCAAAGCTTGAAACTTGGATATCAATACGGATACGAGAAAGTACAAATAGAATGTGAGTTGTTTATTGAGTTTTGAAAATTAATTTACTTTTATACATGAAAGAAAACCGGAAGGGTTGTCATAGAGAAATCAAGAAAGTACCGTAGCGACATCTAGTTTGATTTCGGGAACTAATGTTTTTATTTTAAATACTTCCTCATTATCAGTATTTCATTTAAATTAATATACATTTGATGTTACAGTGAATGGTAGGGCCGACCTTGATCATGGAGTGCACGTAGCTCTCGGGGCCGGTGAACTCCGTGGGGTCCTTGACCCTCACCAGTACCATGAAGTACAGGTAGTGCCACATGTTGTGCTCGTTCTTTACGTGTTCCTCGAAGGAGACCGTCTTGTTGTCGAAGGCTGACCTGTTCAATCCTGCACAACGCACCGATCGTATTAGGACGATGAAATCGAATAAATTAATTTCAAATTAAATGTGGACAGAGAGTTATATGATCCGGCTCTATACTAGAAATAAGCGTCAATATACAATTGGAAAAGCTCGAGAGTGCAGAAAAAGGGCAACTTTCGCAAAGGCCGGACTTAGGATGGGTGACAATTTTTTTTTAAATATTAGCCAACATCGCATACAAGGCTCAGATTCAAAGATGAGTAACTTAAGTCCCCATATTATAGAGTATCTGAGACAACTAATGTTCATAAAAAGTCTATTTTCTACATTGATCCGACCGGTAATCGAACCAGGAACCTCAGAGATGGCGACAACTTGAAACCGAAGTGCGAACCACTCGGCTACGGTGGTGAGTTATGTCGTGTTCTTTCGTGTGTCGAAAAGCACGGTTAGCCGTCGATCCCGGCTGCATCTGCAGGACGTTAACACCCGCCGCTCCGGCCAGGGCCCGCGTGGTATCGTCCATCTCTGCCCCTGCAGCCGGGACATTAGTGAGCAGTTGATAATGAGTCTCACCACATATGAAGCAGGTGTTCTTAAGGATTAACTCCTTCTGCTGCTTCTCGCTACGAAGGTCTGCGAAGGTGTCAATGATCACGCCGAATATGAGATTCAGCACGATAATAATCACCACGAAGAAGAATAGTAAATCGTATACCACACGCGCAACAAACAAAGGCTCCTGTGGAACGAACACGTATTATTAGTGATGCGCGGCCAAAACTAGTTTGTATTATACAATTTTGTTATTAAATACAAACTACCTTTGGCCGCGTGTGGCTGTTTACATTAAACAGTCACAGTGAATAATTGTGTACGATACGATTTTTAACGTGTCAAATAACTAAAAAGTTCGGTACAAACGTAAATAAACTGCAATTTTAATCACGTGTGTACCGAATAGGGATGATGACTAATTTTTGTTTGTTTGTCCGTCAGGTAGAGTGTTAAAAAATATTAAACACGTATTTTTTTATTTTTTTCGTAATCATAAAATTACGGCGTTACATTGAGTTGAAATTTCGCATGACGTCACGTTAGAGTACGTTTTCTACTCAACTGTGACGTAGCGAGCCCCCACTCCTCAACTTTAATACCTGTTATCTGTACTATTTCTTGTTAAATTGAAGTAAAAAAAAATACGTATCTAATATTTTTCTATTATCTGACTGACGGACTAAATAGAATTGCATTTTTTTTACCCAGTCATCATGCCTATTAGCCCAATACTGCAGTATAGCAGGCCAGTGTTCACACAGTCCATCGGACCACGTGAGCGAAGCCGCGGGTTACAACTAGTATGGGGCCATCCATTAATTACGTGATGCTTTTTTTACACTTTTAACTCCCATTCCATCCACTTGGTGATAAGACTACCCATCCCCCTCCTGCCCAATCACGTGTATTTTTTAGAACCTATAAAAAAATCTTAATTTTTGACAAGACTTTATGGTTTAAATCGCGCGATTGAGGAAAAAAGAAATACATGCGATATATTACTATAACACCACGCCTCGCCCCTTGTGATATTTCGTGATTTTTGATGAACCACCCCTCTTTCGAGCCTCACGTGATAATTAGACGGCGCCTATGTAGTTACGGAACATTACTACCAAAAAGGCTACTTGACAGTTTTGGGGAAAGTATTTAAAACTGTAACATGATCATATGGAATTACTATCAGATTTATTTTAAAAGGTAAAAGGTATTTTTATATATTATTTTAATCATTAATCGAAATCGTCCCGCGAAAACGATCAGTCTCATGACATTACGGGCCGTGACGTTACATTTGAAGCGAAATCTGCAGGGGCACCAGTTACTATGGGCGTACCTCAGGGATCGATATTAGGACCATTGCTTTTTCTAATTTATATAAATGATCTTCCTCACTTTACGAAGAATTTGTGCGAGACAGTATTATTTGCAGATGACACCTCTTTACTGTTTAAAGTTGAGAGGGGTAATGATTGTTTTGACGATGTAAATAATGCTCTCGACAACGTTCTACAGTGGTTTGATAATAATAATTTAAAGCTCAATTCAAATAAAACGAAATGCATAAAGTTTGCATTACCTAATGTGAGGCATGTCAGTACACTTATAAATGTAAATAGTGAAAAAGTTGAGTTAGTAGAATCGACAAAGTTCCTTGGTATTACACTAGATTCCCGACTGCAATGGGATCCTCATATTGATAGCTTGTCAAGTAGACTGAGTTCTGCAGCTTTTGCTGTTAAGAAAATTAGACTCTTGACAAATGTTGAAACGGCAAGATTGGTATATTTTAGTTATTTTCATAGTGTAATGACGTATGGTATATTGTTATGGGGTTCTGCGGCTAGCATTCAGGATGTTTTTATTTTACAAAAGAGAGCTGTCCGTGCTATATATAATTTACGGTCTAGGGAATCTCTAAGAGAAACATTTAAAGAAATAAATATTCTGACTGTTGCCTCTCAATACATCTATGAGAATATTATGTATACAAGAAAACATTACGATTCCTTCACAAAAAAAAGTAGTGTTCATAATCTTAACACAAGAAATAAAGATAAACTTGCCGTTCCAAGCTTCAGACTTCAAAAAACCAGAGGATCATTTCTGGGTAAATGTATTGCTATGTTCAATAAAGTTCCACAAAATGTAATTGACCTACCCATAAATAAATTTCAAATTCATGTAAAGAATATACTTGTGAGTAAAGGCTATTATAAAGTTGATGATTATTTTAAGGATCGCAATGCATGGAATTAATAGCCTTCGCTTTGTTCTATAAAGACTAATTATATGTTCAACTTATGTCCTACAGACTTTGAAAGTTGTATTTACTATTGTGATAAATTGATAATACATATTATTTTGGTAATGACATGATTTATGTAAATGTCATTACTTATGATAAAAAGCTGATAAGTTTCTTTCGCTTGTTCTTCTTGTCAGCTAAAAGACGTCCTGAACAAGTGGTAGGGGAAAAAAGTTTTTTGGACGATTCAAAAGTGCTTGTAATAGCCTACTTGAATAAAGATATTTTCATTACATTTCATTTCATTTAAATAACCATGGATGCACTCGCAACGGACACGTTGAGATCTAGTTATTACGCGTTACAAAACTTATGTTAATGTAATTTGCAAAAATAAAGTATACTCACAATTTATTTTAAAACAATAAATACGTTGTTGTTTAAATATTAGTTACCGTTTCCAACTATTTCATAATTTATGGTTGCAGCTGTCATGACTACTTGACTGTGTTTTTAGTATTTATGTAAGTAAAATTGTATTATGTTTTTTTTTTTATTTTAATTTTGGTTTTTTTTATTTTATTTGAAATAACAAACAATTAAAAATGTATTCACAATATAAGTATCATAAATATAATATCTTGTTTATTTTGTAATCAACTAAGTTATCTTCAAAGTAATATTATTACAAAGTTATGTAGGTAGGTATCAAGTGTTCTAGTATCTTAAAATTTTACTGTAAAGGGGTTCTCCAGAGACTTTGGCTTTGGATCTTATAGGAGAAAGCATAAAAGTATCTACGTCCCTAAAACGTTAATTACAAGATTGCATAATACTAACAGAACTGATGCGTGCCCGCTCGCCCGCATTAGTTCTAGTTCTATCGGGTTATCGATATTGGTATACTGACGAAGCTAGCTGGCGCGCGCAGTATGTCGCCGATGCCGCCGCCGTTTCTAAGCCCCTGGTTGAGCGTGGTCACGATGCACATGATCAGCGAGTCGCAGCTGCGCTCGCGTATGTCCCCGCCCACCGACACGAAGCGCGCCGCGCGGCCGCCGCGCGGGCACTGTTCCGGCGACGCGTACTTGCCCGCGGGGCACTCGTCCGTAGAGAAGCGGGGGTCGTCGTCGTCTGCCACGTCACAGAAAAGGGGTTAGAAAGGCGATCATGCATCCTTTGTACGGAAACCGATGTCGCCAGTCTTAGCCCACTTTTAGTCCGCCGTACATCAGACGAAATATTAGACCAATTATACAATATATATGCACACTCTTGCATTTTAAACTTGCCAATCAGAACGCACCAATAAAACTAACCAATCACGCTCAACCGTAACAGACATCTAGAGTGCGTAAGAAACGTGTAAAAGCCATTTTAATTTGCCATATCACACTAGTGATTGACATAAAGTTATTTACTAGCGATATTTAAAAACAACAAGTCGATTAATTGAAAGAATACTAGAGTAATTTCTTTATATCATTTTGGATATACATTGAATTGTATTGATTTAATGTGGCATTATCTTTTTTCTTTAGATATGACTATTTAAAAAAAACAATATTTTTTTATGCTTGTTAATTAGTTGGTTGATTCAGTAAAAAATATTTATTTGCATATATGTTTGTTGGTTTGTTTATAAATAATAACACGAGGTAACTTTTTTACTTTACGTTACTCGATTTCGTATCAAGTAAACAGGTAGGATCGGCAACATCGCTTAAATGAAACTAGTAATATTGACAAACAAAAAAAAAATGTATACAAAATAATAAAAATGTAATGCTATTTGTTAAAGGTCTAATATCTACACAATATGTTACTAGTGCTGTTATCTGTCGTGCATTATCGATAGAAATGCTTGTTCGTTCTATGGTTTTAAAAAATAAAATTCAGTCTGTGCCATCGGTTAATATGAATACGTTTTTTCATTTAACTATTCATTAATAAATTAATTTTCAAAACTCAATAATCAACTCATATTGTATTTGTACTTTCTCGTATTTGTATAGCTAAGTATCGAACTTTGCAAATTTCAGTTTTTTAATATGTTAGTTAAAATTAGTTTCCATTCGTTTCCTGCAAAAATCAACTTTTGCTACAGTCGCCATCTAATGAGTTGCTTTTTAATGCTTCCTTTTTTTTTCTTATAATACTTTCTCATTATAATTTTTATCTATGTGTCTTCATTTTATATTTATTTTCCCTTTCTTGTTGCTATTTTTGGCATTTTTCTGTCATATTTGTAAACTGTATGTATGTGATGTGAGTTGCCAAATAAAAAACCTATTCTATTCTATTGGAACTGACCCCGAACGGATGCCGACGATTTAAAAAGTATTGTTGATAATGATTTAAAATAAAAAAATAAAAAGATCAATGTTACAATATGTGGAATATAAAATGATTCTTTTGGTATACCACAAACTCATTATTAAATTAATATACAAATGCATACCAAACGAAGTCAATATGGTAGTTTAGAAAAGGGTTATATTGTATCTGAATAAATTAATCTTTTATTACCATTATTTTTATCGTCCTAACTTTTACTTATTTTTTACTGACTGTAGGCTAGGCGACTGTGGTTCAAGAGGATAGATGGTTAAAATGAAAACATCTGCTTTTGGTAAAACAAACGTTCCACCGATAGTGCAAATGCGTTCGCGTCGTAAGTATGGTAGCGGATCACGCTCGTTGCTCACTCTTTCGCTGCGAAACTGAGACTGACTAACAAGAAACCAAGTAAGCCGGTCGTGGATGGCAAGATGTGCGTGAGCGCCCTCTTCCTATTGGTCGAACTCAATAGGATTAGAGTAACATGCCAGTCCGACGTTGGTTTTGCACCATCAGCGAAAACAAACATTTATTAGAAACAAAAGATCACTGTGTGTGGCACATACACAATAATAAAATATCTTATTACTAAAACTAACATACAACTAAACATAAATTTTAAAGGAGCGGGCCAATTGTAATACTATAGTCAATACTGACTAAAACACAAAAAATCGATTATATGTTTCGGCACTTCACTAGCGATCTATTTAGAACGATGATCTCGCGATGTTCTTAACAGTACGGCGTAATATAATAAATATGCGCACTTCTCCAGCAATGTATATTTTGATCAATTTCGCATTCACAATGCTATACTGAAAAATATTCAGTCGCCCGGATTGTGAAAGGTCGACTAAAATACTAAATCTGAAAAGTGTTCTACTTACTAATGAAAAGAAATCCCTCCTTTAGACCTACTTGAAGATGGGCTTCTTATTTTGCAATTAATAACTGCGCAAGTCAGAATTTTGTCACTTTTAGTGGCGTGTTTCACAGTACTTACAGCACGCGCGTTCGTGAATGACTAAACATCGCGATCGCGTTGGTGAAGTCACGATCCTGAACGTTTGTCCAGGATCGTGGCTACGCTGGCCACAAGGCCCTTCTAACCTCTTTCTGTGTTCCGTGTGGTAAACAGGGAGCGTGGGACGAAATTTATGTTTAATTGTTGGGAAGGAATTGATTCATTTTCAAAAAACAAAACGTTTTTTACTAATTAAGGTGAAAAAAACCTAAACTTACTGGACTAAAATTTAAATAAAGATCGTATACAAAGTATACACTATATACAGGGGGGATGAATCAACAAACGTACCGTCTAGGCGGTCGACGCTAACGAGGAAGTGGTCCCGGAAGAACATGTAGCCGACGATGGAGAACATGTAGACCAGCACCAGCGCCAGCACGGCCGTCAGCAGGATCGACCGCCCGTTGCGTGTCACTGATCGCATCACGTTCAGAAGCGTCTCCTCGCGGTACACTATGTCTAGGAGCTGCGTATCGGCCAACACGTATATTCGTTAGCGTTGCATATACACTCTGTGATTACTTTTAATTTAATTTCAATGTCGAATAAATACGGAAGAGATATATTTAACTATAATAAATACGGCTTTGTATTACTAAAAGAATATTGTCGAATTTATTCATTACAAGAAAAAAAAACAAACAAAAATCTACACTTTTATACTTTTAATGTTAATATGTATACTACTCATACAAAAATACATGACACTCGAAGGCATATGTCTCCGACAACACACAATTTCTTATTCTTAACGCACTTATGCGATAAATTATTATGCAACGGGGGTAGATCTGGCACAGTCTCTGATTTACAGATAATCTTCACGGATATGATTTTAAAAACATTATAAAACCGAAGTTTATTCGAGGGCAAACACAATAGGCGCTCGGGTGTCATGTTAATTCATACAAATTATTATAGTTATATAATACTCACCAGGACGGAGAAGAAGAATGGATGACAACACATTCCAAGGAAGCAGAAAACGAGGTATACGCAGTGATAAAGGAGTTCGGGGTCGGTGAGTACGTTCCGCGTCGACTTAGACAACGTGCCCTGGTTGCCCATGATACTCACCAGGTGTATACCTTTGACCACTATCTGCACAACACAATAAATTAATATAAGATAACGATGGCGCAGTGCTTGATTCGGTGTGCGATATAGTTGTTAAGTGAATATTGTAATGGTCAGTTCCAGGATGGGTGGCCAAAAGTTTATTTTCTTAAGCTCCTTCGGAAGGCACGTTAAGCCATTAATCTAGGCTGCATCTGCAGTCGTTGACACCCAAAAATTCGCACTGAGCCCGCACGGTGGTCATGACTCCATCCATAGAAAGATCTGAGCCCTAGCAGAGAGGACATAATAGGTCGATGATGATGGGACATCACAAACATTGCTAAGATCATATACTGAGCACTCCTGTCCTAAACACATCTGTTGAGGCTCTCCGATGTACCTGCGCAGAAAGTTGAATTTCGCACAGCCGCAAATGTTGACCAATCAGAACGATTAAAGTGGATTCACCGAGTGTGACCGGGATGGCAACGGCGTTGTATAATACATTTTATGGTTATGTAAATATGATATATCAATTTTAACAATTCAATTGACCAATGAGCTGGTCGACTTTGGACGCCGTCAATCAGTGTAATTTACGTATTAGATTACGTTACGATTACGGTGCACATGGCATGATGTGGTAGTGTGGCTGAAGATGCTACATCGTACTCCTGAGGGTGAGGAGCGCGGTAACCAGCTCACCAGCGGGCCGCCAGCCGATGATGCTACATGGAGACGGTACATACTGTGAGCATGGCGAGGCACCACAGCGTGGGCTCGGGGCCGGTGGAGTATATGAGCCGTATGATGGCACTGGCCAGGAGTGCGCGTACTCCTGAGGAGCGCGGTAACCAGCTCACCAGCGGGCCGCCAGCCGATGATGCTACATGGAGACGGTACATACTGTGAGCATGGCGAGGCACCACAGCGTGGGCTCAGGGCCGGTGGAGTATATGAGCCGTATGATGGCACTGGCCAGGAGTGCGCGTACTCCTGAGGAGCGCGGTAACCAGCTCACCAGCGGGCCGCCAGCCGATGATGCTACATGGAGACGGTACATACTGTGAGCATGGCGAGGCACCACAGCGTGGGCTCGGGGCCGGTGGAGTATATGAGCCGTATGATGGCACTGGCCAGGAGTGCGCGTACTCCTGAGGAGCGCGGTAACCAGCTCACCAGCGGGCCGCCAGCCGATGATGCTACATGGAGACGGTACATACTGTGAGCATGGCGAGGCACCACAGCGTGGGCTCGGGGCCGGTGGAGTATATGAGCCGTATGATGGCACTGGCCAGGAGTGCGCGTACTCCTGAGGAGCGCGGTAACCAGCTCACCAGCGGGCCGCCAGCCGATGATGCTACATGGAGACGGTACATACTGTGAGCATGGCGAGGCACCACAGCGTGGGCTCAGGGCCGGTGGAGTATATGAGCCGTATGATGGCACTGGCCAGGAGTGCGCGTACTCCTGAGGAGCGCGGTAACCAGCTCACCAGCGGGCCGCCAGCCGATGATGCTACATGGAGACGGTACATACTGTGAGCATGGCGAGGCACCACAGCGTGGGCTCGGGGCCGGTGGAGTATATGAGCCGTATGATGGCACTGGCCAGGAGTGCGCGTACTCCTGAGGAGCGCGGTAACCAGCTCACCAGCGGGCCGCCAGCCGATGATGCTACATGGAGACGGTACATACTGTGAGCATGGCGAGGCACCACAGCGTGGGCTCGGGGCCGGTGGAGTATATGAGCCGTATGATGGCACTGGCCAGGAGTGCGCGTACTCCTGAGGAGCGCGGTAACCAGCTCACCAGCGGGCCGCCAGCCGATGATGCTACATGGAGACGGTACATACTGTGAGCATGGCGAGGCACCACAGCGTGGGCTCAGGGCCGGTGGAGTATATGAGCCGTATGATGGCACTGGCCAGGAGTGCGCGTACTCCTGAGGAGCGCGGTAACCAGCTCACCAGCGGGCCGCCAGCCGATGATGCTACATGGAGACGGTACATACTGTGAGCATGGCGAGGCACCACAGCGTGGGCTCGGGGCCGGTGGAGTATATGAGCCGTATGATGGCACTGGCCAGGAGTGCGCGTACTCCTGAGGAGCGCGGTAACCAGCTCACCAGCGCGCCCGCCAGCGCCGACACACACCACACCACCAGCGACAGGTGCTGCCCCAGCTCTGCACCACACATCGGACCCACCCTCACTCAATATCCTCGATAATACCACCACAAAACTCTATCTTCTTATCATATACGACAATTCTAACAATAGTAACTCGTTTGCTATAAACTATATAATGGAAATATATATCGGTAGTAATATATATATATTTTTAATTATTGTTGCTTTAACATTTAAACTTAAACATATTATTTTTTATGTTTTTCTGCCTCGAGTTCATCTTTTTGTGAATAAATGTTTTTCTGAAATCCTGTTTTATACATTGATCTCATAATCGATTATCTCAATTATATATATATATATGTATATTTATTACCACATCGCAAAAAACTTCAAATCCCAAACGTCACCGTTCCCATGCTATGTGAAAAAGACTATAATCTATGCAACATGCAACTATCAACTGATACTGCACTAACAGCAATTTTTTATATTTTTAACTGCAAAATCAACTTTTGCTAGAGTCGCCATCTAGTAGAGGTGCTTTTTTCTTTTTTTAATACTTCCTCATTAGCTAAATAATAATGCAATTTGCACACAATGATTTATATCAGTCAAACTTCATTTCTGAAATCCTCCCTCACCCTTATATTATGCCCGACATTAATTTAAGTTCAAATTTATTTTAAAAAATTCCTGCCGCTATATTTTATTTTCTCCCTTCTTTAAGATTCTTTTAATCTAAAAAATATTATTTCGATTTTTCTTCCGACCAGATTGTTTTTTACCATACTTTCAAGCTTATATTATATATGCACTCTCGTAGGTTAATCGTATTTTTGAAATCACGTAAAAAAACTCGATTCCTCTACTGTAATATCAACAAATAAGACTTCTGAAAAAGTCACGGGTGCCAAAAATTTCCTTTCTTTATCTACTCCATGTTTTGTAAAGCATGTTAAAAAATTGGTCAGGATTGCAACTACATTTGTTAACACCGACCAATCTGTCCTAGGCCCGCATAGTGGGTTAACGTTTTTTCTCTAACGTCTGGAATCAGACAGGAGATGCCTGTGCACCAAACAATTTCTAAAAATAAGTTAAGTACGTCAGTAATAGATAAATGAAATACTCACTCGGTTGTTCATCTTGAAATGGGTAAAAGAAAGCGACAATAACGTTGATAAGAACGGCGAAATTGAACAGAATATTACTCCAAAGCGACATGTAGGACGAAACCCAAAATAAAAAAGGTTGCCCTGAAACAATACACATATACGGTAATACGCTACTGATACCGCACGGATGATGTGCAATTAGTTCCAACTAACATGGCGCAGGCGATATTCGTAGATCAAAACCAGCAAATCTAATAACTCTGATGATGACTGAAGGTCATATTAAAATTTATAATGAGTTTTGTATAAATTACTATAAGGTGTAAAATATAAAGCAAAGATAGCCGTGCCATTTATACTCAATAGGGATCAGAATCGTGAAAAAAGAAGTAAAAGACCCGCACCATGATTGCCCGATATAGATGAATTTATAAATGGTCACATATTCTTCATTCGGGAACAGGTTAGTAGCTAAATAAAAAGGAACTGGTAAATAAGAAACATATATGTACTTGAATGCATTTTGAATTTATTAAGTTAAATATGTTTATATCGACATTTGGCGCGCTATACACAGATGGCGCTATTGTTTTAGTTTTTAGTTTAGGCGCGTACAGTTTAACCACCCCTCTCTCATCTCAAGATGGTATGTGTTCTTTTGCACTTTTAATAAAAAATTATAGTTTGGATAATTTGAATAAATGTCATCTATTTCAACTGTTGGAGTATTTTCACCAGGAACGTTCAGCAATAGTATAAATGATTACAACGCTGTTCGGTTGCATTGCACCGAATAAGGATAAGGAATGATAAAGCTGCAACACAAGTTTCGTATGTATGTATATGCGAAAGAAAAATATCTATGAAGCTAATACTGACCTCGTAACTTTTTCTGCCATTTCATCTCGTGAAACAGATTGTCTAGCCTGGCGAAAAAGTCTGCGACCTTACTGCCCTGGTCGTCGCGCTCGGCGCTCTGCAATACTCTGTGCTTACTGTCGGCGGGGAGATACTCGCATATCTCCGGTATGGGAAACACTATCTGCTCCATACTGCGATCGGTCCTTACGATCTGTAGTACACGCACATATACACACATCATATAAATATTAATAGATCGAGCGAGTTTATCAGTTACCGTAACAGTTAAATACGACTACTGGCAAGTAAATTGAGATTTAGTGAATTAGGCATCGATCTTATTAGAAACGTGATAACTGATATTTTGTCACAAAGTATAACCTAGAAAGAATCTTATTTAACTTCTGCAATGCAGCAATTTATCCGCGTTCTATTGTCCCGCGTAAACTACACTGTATGTCAAAGAAAATAATTTTCATTATCGAATCAGTATTTCCGAAGATTATCCCCTACAAACAAATACTTAGTTGCACAAACGTCCAATAAATTTGTCATTAGTTAAAAGCGGCATTATCGATATAAATATAGTATTGCAAGTTGGTTAGTTGCCCTATGTGGTGCACTGGCCTGTATCTGTATGGTTCATTGGCTTCCAGTGTTGCCAACTCGATACATGAGATAAGTGCTAGATTGCTAGGGATATCCGAAAAATTGTGCTATACACGTTTTTACACTTAAGCAAATAAAAACATTTTTTTCCATTCTTCTTCACTGTCAGCTTTCTGGAATTGCCTTTTTTCATGTAGGATCGTACGTGGGAGATTGAAATGTCCAGATTTCTAATTTATTTTTTAACGTAGAGACGTCGTTTATCTCTTTAATCATCTTTAAATCTGTCCACATTACATTTTCATTGACCTTACCAATAAATTTTGTGAGCAGTAAATAAATAAAAAATATAATAAATAGTCAAATTTTGGTGATAACCTTGTGAAAATAGTGCTAAATCAAGCTCCGAAAGTGCTAAGTTGGCAACACTGCTGACCTCTATAAATATGGTTCACTGACCTCTATCTGCGCCGTGTGAGTGCGGTAGTATTGCAGTGCAGGCGCGTTATGTCCTGAAGGCAAGGCCCTCACTAACGCCGCCAATTCCTTGTTGTGTCCCGCCAGCTGGTGGCACAGTATATAGATGTTGTGCCCCACCTGAACAATCGCGCATCTTGATATAATTATGACTGATAATAAAAAAAAGGAGAGTTCAAAAAGCCAGTTCAAGGGCGGTGATTTAACGATGGCTATTAATATGAATCTCCAGATTGCCATTGAAGTTTTACGAATTATTTTTCACTTTTAATTTTAAGTATCCCAGATCTTTAAAACTTCTTTACTAATTTTAATGAAAATGTATTATTCCATTAATTGACCTAAAAAAAATCACTGTGATGTTCTATTTAATGCGTGAGAAATACGATACTAAAATATTACCATGGTGATATTAACGTGAGACTTTCAGTGGTAAGTTTATCAAGCGTCACTGGTAGATCTTAGCATGTACCAAACTCTAAAAGCCCTAACTATCACTATCAAGCCCTAAAATCTTACATTTACCAATTGGTAAATCTTAAAAAATTTCTCGTACTAGTAAAATAACATAATGTTGACATGGACCCATATGCATATAGTGCCGTTACAAATTATTACATATACACAGGTCAAATTGACAATCTTCTTTTTTGAAGTCTGTTAAAAAGAATAGAAAAACAGCAGCTGATTTTCGGAAAAAATATCTTCCTGTGATACTTTAAAACGACAGTGGTGGGTTACCCTTATGTACTTTCTATAGATAAATATACCGTAGTAGAACATTAATAAACATATCGTTAATATAACTCACTTCCTTAGGTGAGACTCCTTGGACTGGAGAGTCGTCATCAGCCTCGTCGGAGTCTATATCCATGGCATGTTCCTGATGAAATGCGGAGCAAGCAACATCCACCTGTTACAGTAAAATATGATACTTTGATACCCAAGATAAGGGTCGTGATGTTCACAAGAGAGGAAATACGCGACTTGACATATATAAACTGTCATAAATAACCAAAGAGGTTTTAATTACTGTTAATAAAACTCTTACGATAGTTCATTCATCTGTTATAGTCGATCAGAAAGAATTTCGTACGTTGACCTTTATAACTAATACTAGATATCGTAAACATTTTAGGTTTACTTTACTATGACAACATTGCCTAGATGCATGTGTCAATGAGAAATAAAAATTCAAGTAAACTAACATTACCCAACTTAATTTAAATAAAAAGTAAGTTCAAAAACTCGACTATAACAGGCCTACCGCGTAACTATTATTAGTGTTATCACGTTCATGGATGAGGCAACCCATAAAAGTAATACTGCCTTCTATAAATACCATTGAAAAGCGCAGTCCGTTCTCATTCCTGGAGGCGGTAGGCCTGCCAGTCCTGTAAGCGTATCGTGTATACTCACTAGCTGTTTAGGGTTCATATTGTACAATATACGCTCAGCGTTGTTCTCCGAGTCGTTCCGGGACTCCATGATGGCTAGCAGGAGCTTGGAGGCGTTGTTTTTGAGCTCGAGAACAAGGTCCATACGAGTCTTGCCGAGAGGATTGATGTCGTTCAGAATCAATGCAGTTATTATGTCCAAGCCATTGCTCTCGTGGGTCGCTATACAATTCTGGTTCTCGTGGCAGGGACCTGAGGGTCAACCACGTACAATTAAGGCACAACTAACATGTCTCACCGATGTACCTGACCAAAAGGCTGGATTACGTAACGCGAGAAATGTCGGCCAAACAGAATGATTCAAGGAGTACGTTTGATCGTAGCGAGTGAGACGAATATCTAGTCCATTGTATTTTACATCTTATGGTTATTGAAATAAGCGTAACTATAAATTTTAATCACAAGTTCGGATTCACGATTTTAACGACATATCATATAAGTTACATTTTACTGTAAATCTCTCGTTATTTGAAGTTTTATAGTTTGAAAATTCTGCAGAAACTGCAACTCCGAGAGCATGAGTTCATCTATTGAGTAAACAAAAGGGATTCTAGTAAAAAAAAAATAAAAAAATCATGATTCATCATACAATATGTCAGTATAGAACAAATCAACTCAAGAGACGCCGATACGGGTCTCCGGTATCTAACGGAAGTATTATTAGAACCTAACTGGACGATGCTTTTAGCTATGCTTTAGGTTGAAATTTTACATTCACAATATTTATTTAATAGAAAAATACTTTTAAAATATCTTAAAGACATGTGTATGCATCATTTATCCTCATGTGTAATAGCATGGTTTTATCTGTTATATAACAGCCCTGAATGGAGATGGCCGGTCAAAGCTTATCATAGATGTCGTTGTTGTAGCTTTTTAACCTTTTATTTACAGCCGAGTCAAAGAAGCACAAAAGTAGAAACAGCCAATCAAATTTAAAAATATATCATTAGAGCCATAAGCATCATAGTCAAGCACAATCTTAAGATTTACTACACTAATTACGAGATGGCGTTGAAGAAACTGTTTTACCGACTAAGAGCCGAGACCGTTATTTTCTTTCTTTTCAAGTATTTTTTTTTGGGATGAAATTACAGCAGCGCCCTTAAGCGTGACATTACCTTGGCAGTATTCTGTGAGGGTCTCCAAAGTCTGGTTGATGAGGGCAACGTTACCCTCGTTGATGTAGAGGCCGAGGAGACCCAATCCGCCAGTGGTAGAGCCGCAAATGCAATCCAAAAACATCAGCGTTTCCGATACCAGGTTGAAGTTGGACTTGTTGTTCTGGTTCCGGAGTAGATTCTGAAGCAAAATTATAAGCGTATAGGTTAATTCCGTTTTTAACTACACTGTATTACAAATTAATTTATTAAAATATATATAAAATACAAACGGCTATTGGTATAGGTACTTTTTTTGAAACGATAAATACTGTATCGGTTCGGTTACAAAATAATATTAATAAAGTCTTTGTAAGACATATATCAGGAACGCATTCTCCGTGCGGCCGCTGTGTAAATAAAGTATGCGAGTGTTAAGTTGTATTATTAAAAATAAATAAATTTATATGATAGCTCCTTCATAAATCGTACCTGCAAATCAGGGTTATGGTTTTCGCAGAGTAGCTGAAGGAATCTGAGTATGGGTCGCATCACGGCCACTTTAGCGGGCAATACATCAGAACTGCCCGCTTCCCGTTTCTTCTCTGCCATTATTTCTTCCAAAACTTGCGTACCTTTTGCGATGATAACACTTTGTTAAAAAAAAATCTAAAACGTAAACCAGTCTATCTCGTAAATATTTAGATCTGATTTGAATTGGGAGATTAAGAGATGTACCGAGTACTTCGTAAACCTGTTACTGTTATTTAAGTTTGAGACGTAAAAACGTATAAATTGTACATGACCAATTTGTAGCACTGTTATTACAAACAATAAGAGTACTTTCAAATTATATTTTTAGTTTTAAAGTTGTCAAACTGTCTTTTCACTTCAATAATAAACTAAGATAACAAAAGTAGATTCATTACATTAAAGTGTCGATACCTATAAATATAGGTACTGTCAGTTGGTATGCTTGTTTTGAATTTCGATTTTCGAGGAGTGCGGCTGCGTGAGAGGTGTAATTTATCAACTCGATGATTTAATATTACCTAATTTATAATTGTGTTTCGAAATACTGTTAACTCTTCAATTCGATTTGAAGAGTTAATCTAATCGGATTCATTGCAGTCAATTTGTCGTGCCACAGTTAAAAAATCGGCCAATGAAATAAGTTCTCCAAGGTTTTCCGCACCCTGTATGCGGCCGTCGCATATATCCTCCATAAAGCATTCCTCTTGGTAAAAATAAGGTTGCACTGACCGTGCGACATAGTGTGTATGTCGGAGTACGCGTGTACAGCAGACCCGCACGCGCTCGTCACCTCTTCGTCCATCTCTTCACCCACCACTATAGGGCCGGGTGTACTGCGACCTACGAACAATATATCAAATATATATTAGATAATAAACCTTAAGTGGTACCATGAGTGGGGTAAATATAATATTTTATAAGAAAAGAGGCAATTTTACGGAGCGCAGTGGCGCGATATTACGTCTACCCGTTACCAGATGGCATTACGTGTCATTTGAATCGCGCTAACACCATCGAAACTACTTATGTTATATAGGTATACGGTGTGCATGAAAAGGACAGTCACCGTGGAAGAAAGGGAGGGACGGGTAGCCGTTCCAGAACTTTTGGTAATGCCTAAAATAGAACGTAGAATATATTTCATTCTAGACGTGGTGTCGACCACATTAAGTAGGTACTCGGTGGGCAGACCCGGCATTCTTTCAGTGATTAGTGAACTGAATACGAATTACGAGAGCGATCGATAACTAGCGAAGTGAACTATCTGGATGATCTAATAGTGCTAGGAAGTGACCGTAGTAACGTGAACCGGAGTAAAGCTTAAGTGTAAGTTTTTTTATATCCCAAACCCCAACACGTAACTATAGTTTTCACCGTCTATTTGTAATTAAAATGTGAACAATGGCAGATAAGATAAATAAGCGTTGAGGTAATGAGTCGGTGTGGTGTTAACGTTTCGTTACCATCGGTGGGTGATTTCTGTTTGTCTTGTGTTGGCCGCTGCTTGTCGCTGCTCGCGGCCGCGGTACTGCTAGCGGCTAGCGATCTGATTTCCTGTTGCGCTTCTCGCATTTTGTCATAAAATACCTGAAACAGTCAACAGAAAAAACCTTCACTAGGGTCCAAGTCAAAAGATGAATGACACTAATTTCGAGCTTTTCCTTTCATTAATATCCACCGATTATTTTGAATTAAAATATAATTTATTTGCTCACTTTAAGGAATGCTTGCGATATCTCGCCGTTTTGTAGTTTCGTAAAAATGCTGTGCTGGATGATAGGGTTGCCACCTTCGAGAAGTGCGATACCTGGACATAAGACAACATGCTTTAATACACGGCCAACTATTTGAAAGCGTACTTTTTATAATGCATAAAGCTATTAAACTAATCCAGATAGAAGAAATCCATTATAACATGAAATAGATTTTTTCTTAAATAGAGTCGGCTAAACGTAGGTTTCGTCAACCGCGTAATGATATGAAATAATAATTTATAATTTAGAAAATGAATTCACAAATTACACTGAAGAAAAATATTTACAAAAACCATGCCTTGTGTAACTTTGACTTGTACGATTACCTTGCAAAAGATCTACCGTGAATAGCGAACATACGAGGAGATGCATAAATAACTGCATAAATACTAAAAATAAAAAAATAAAAAATTTGTTGTATTACTAGCAAAAAAAAAACACTCACCTAATTGTATTGCCTCCAAGAAGATTGCAGGTCTGTTGGTACTTTTAATGACGAGGTCCACCACCAAATCGGAAGCGCCTTCCTTGTCAAGGTGAGCTTGCACTTGAGCTAAAGTCTGGCCCGTGCGCATCAACACCTTGGCTGTACAACCCATAGGATGTTTTAGTACTTAGACAATAAAACACTGTTTTCAGCAACATTCAACAATAAACAGCTTAACATTTACTATGCCCAGTTATCAAACAATACCAAATCCAACTAAGGAAGCTTTAAAACCAATTCACGGATGGCGTTTTAGAATATGTGTTACTTTTAATATGACCATGATAATATTCGATCGATAATAAGTCATTTAAATAGGTAAAACTATTTTCTTGCCCATGTAGATACTAGCCAGCCATCCTGCATAGTAAAATGCCAGGTAAGGTAAGACCCTTTCTCGGTCAAATTGATCGCGTGTTATCTAAAGGTATCTAAATGATGTACGAGTACAAAACCACAAAAGCCGGTGGCTTTGAACAAAAGAGTTAAAAATATACTTGTGAGGCTTAGTTCTCACTGCCCAATGGGATGGGGGTCTAAAGAAAGTTATGGTGACGTAATAAAATATCATCATAGTCATACTAATATTTACACAAACAGAGGTTTCGCGAATACATAAGCTTTTGGAGGCTCTCCATCTCTTTTCTTATTAAGGAGAGCAATTTGTAGTACGCATAGACAATTTATCATCTCATTGCATAGAGTTAGCATAACACATTACAAATAAAGTTTTTTTAAAGCCACAATTCCAGACTGTATACAAAGTTTGTACTTTTAAATACTTTTAAACATTAATTAATAATATAGCGCACGCATAGATATCTATATCTCATAAGATGCCTGATAGAGACGCCGACAATTTTTTGTGGCTTCTGTGAGAAACTAAAGCAGATATCAGACAATATTTGGAAGCATATCAAGTTGCAAGGTTGGGCAAGCAGCCAACGTAAAAGGATAGTTTGTAGTTTTTATTTGCGACGCTGCGCGAGTCTATAGCGTGCCATCTTTATAAGTTATATTCTTTAAATATAAAGGATTGTTCTCAATAAAGCAGCGCATATTGAATAGCTTATATTAAATGAAAAGATGCTAGTTCGATGTCAGTTTTATTCCATTTAGTTTTAATCGAGAAAATAGCAATAATTTCAATTTCTAGTAATTTAGCTTTCCCCTATGCGACATTTAGTTGGTGCTTACACAATTTAGTTGAACTGTCGTGCGTCATAAAAGCACGTGTAATATATATATATATATTTTAACAAATCAAGCATTCGTTCACTGTTTAACCTGATGTCAACCGAATATAGCTCTTATTACATCAAGACAGTGATCCAAATCAAATTGCACAGATATTAGTATTTAAATTGTAATATTAAATTAACTTCATCGCTTGTGATGCGTCAATAACGTGCACTGTAATTAAATACAACACCAAACAATGAAAAAACCATAGACAAATTAACTTTAGAGGGTGATGTAACTAATAATCGAGATATCTATTTATTCCAGTCATATGTACACATTTCTTTCCATTAACTCGATGTACTTTATTTATTGCTTTGTATAAAAAAAATTTCAAAAGATTTCCCGCTTAAATTTACTGATAGTTAAGGTTAAAATTGATTGCAGAAATTTGGCCCTTTGTACTAAATGACCTGATGTGCTGATGTGTGTACGTTCAATAATGTCGGGTTATTTATTACTGATTACGATCTCGATGGCGAATAAGGATTGTAAAGTCGTTCTAATACTTAATTCCGAAGACATACAGTGGTGGCCATATAATTAAAACGATTTGTAGTTATAGAATGTTTTAAATGAAACTTGCCCATTTTTTTTTAATATGACTTTTTGTAAGTAGTTACTTACTTATTTAGAGATCCAATTAGTTAAGATAAACTAAACTAGGATAGACATATAAAATTAGCAACTTTTTTTGGTAAAAGAATATTTATTGTGGGCTGTATTATAGTATACGATAATGAAGCTGGACAAATAATAAGACGATACTCTTAAGCTATTGGTAATTTTTTAAAATAAAATACAGAGTAATTATATTATCATAATAATAAAAAATGTACATGAAAAATAAATTGAATATATTTTAAACCGAAATTAATGTCCACGACTCTTAATAACTGCTTTACACCGAGGCGTTGACTCTATTAATTTTTGACATTTTGCTTGAGTAATTTTGACCTTAGTAATTTTAGGGTCAAATGCCTTATTAGAGGGTCGACGTGTAACTTCACTGTGTAACGGTCCAGGTTAAATAGTGGTCATATGTACTTTTGCATTGTTTTAGCGTACGTACGTACGTAGGGACGAGTATTTTAATTGCTATTCTACCGTACAACTTTTCTTCTACAAAACGCCTTCGAGCGTGCCGAGATCGCAGAGGGCTTTCCTTCCCCAAAATATTCCGTTCGTATATCGTTAACCCTTTGAAAGAATTTCATTTCGCAAGACGAATAATGCTTCTGTCGTCTCAAAGAAAGGTTGTTCCCGGTCGTGGCTTGCGCGGAATATTTAAAGTACTGTCATAAGTTTTAAAATATTTCACAACATTGAACATCATGGTTTTCGAACATTCTAGATGGTCAGCTATTTTATTAGAAGACCTATTCTTCTCCCAAAGTTTTAATATAATCTCCCTTGTAGATATATTTTTTTTTATTCATGATTTATTAAATCTAATTTATAGAAGAAAGTACCAACAATGTATAAAGATTTTGGAGTACCACAATAATAAAAAATAATATATGCAACATGCTATATATATATTTTATAAGTAAATGTACTATTTTCAAGGGAAGGTTCTTAATTATATGGCCAGATGGCCACCATTGTATATTTCAAATTCTATTCACACAGAAAAACGATTTTTGTGCAAATATTTACATGAAACATTCCAGTATTCATCAAAATACGCCAGAAAAATCGCTTGTATCTAAGAATTTCCGATAAGTGCCTCACACGTTTTAGTATTGAAAAAATTATTCGTAAAATGTAACCAACATATTTGAAACATATCATTGTCTATAAAAGTTCATTTGTCTATGTTAAACAAACATCAAACAGTGCTGCCCTCTATAGAATGGACCCACCTGTCTTCGGCTGATGCTGGTGAATCTCTGCATCGCATGCGCGGTGAAATAAAGAAAAAGAACTTTTTTCTAAATCTAATCTAGACATGTGCTCACAATGACTTCGTTACAGTATGTTAATATCTTAAACTCGAGCGTAATTTCATTTTAGAAAATTGTTCTAATGGGAGATGTATTTTGAGCATGGAACCAAGTGATTATTATCAAAAGTCAAATTTTAGTGTATTTTATTTACATAAAACTATACAATATTCAGTTTCTTCCGTCCCCCTTTGTCTTCCGTTCAAAATCTATAAAAACTGACGACGCTTATACATACATTAGATAATATAATCATTAATAAAATATTTCGAACATACAGTGACATGTTGAAGTAATTTCAACATACATAAGTTAATGTTTATTTTGAAGTAGAAGTAGTCACCAATTATTTCATAGACTCGACGCGTTCCATACATACACTTCCAGCTTTTATAATGAGTAATTGTTGTGTGATAATGAAGTGTATGATATTGATTTCGCATGAAAAAGCTAAAATAATTGGTGTTACAAGTGTTTAGGGTTATTTAAACGTGGAAAAGCGTAGGACCCAAAATACTACCCTGCGAGCAATTGTGTATTTATTGATAACCATTCGTTCAAAACTTGTTTATAAGAATAAGGATTGTGTCAAACGATTTCACTAACGTTACTTGTTTTTAGAGTTTACTTGTTATATAATGTGTTAAATTATTGTATTATATCGAAACCCAAAGTAATTACTAGATAGGTTTTTGTTTTCAATAAGCAGGTTTCCAGGTAACGTCGTAGAAAATTATTATTTTATTATTAATATTTTGATAATATAAAATACTTTTATCCGACCCGCATACATCTCCTATTAAATCAATATTTTAATTAACAAAAACCCGATTAATAGTATGAGTTATGTTAAAATAAGTTTGTTTCGCTTCATTAGTCTCAAGCAAAATCAACATTAGTCAATCGGGTGTACTCTAGATAATTTATATCATCCGTCAATTTACGAGCTCATTACGGATAAGACGTTATAAAACCAAAACAAAACTAAACCGAAGTTAAATAGTTATCATGTTGGACCTAAGAGCCTCCTTTTCATGAGGTATATAATGATATTAAGTTTTGTGTATTATACCTAGATTCAATTTAAATACGCGAATTAGGAAAGTGATGAAAATTAAAAAATATAGCGTTATTTCACTCCAACGACGGCTTCTAAATTGTTGCGGAACACAATTTTTCAATAGTTTTTAGATTTTTACGGCATCATATATATGGCGAGTTTTATGTCAAAAGTACATACTTCATTACATAAATGATATTGACGGAAGGAGAGATAACAATGTGAGATACGAATGATGTTGCATTATCAATAACGTATTGTAACGAAGTTCATACGTGCGTCTAAACTATAACAGTAGTAGTTAATCACGGAATAGTATTGCCTGTCGAAGGCAGACGATCTAAAGTGAAACAAGTTATAATTAGAAATAATTTATCTAGATGTAGTAACTCGGCTAGTGCTTTAACCACGTCTAAGACTAAACGAAATTATGTGCAACAAAATTTTGTTACAATCATACTTTTCATTATTACATTTAGAATATGGGGAAATTCCACAAATTGTTTATTTAAGACTGAATAAACAATTTGTGGAATTTCCCCAGAATTTTTTTCGTTTCAGACTGAATTTATTGATTTCTTTATATTCATTCATTCATTTTTTATTCCCATTATATTTATTTTTATCTAGATATATGCTTATTCCATTTTTACTTTATTTTCTATGAATAAGTTTTGTGGAATTTTATCATATGAAACAAATTTGTCTTTAACAATGCAATATGATGATGTATTTACTTAAGGCTACTTTTAGGTATATGTACGTGTGTGTACAAATGTATGTACGAAGCGTAATATGGTTATCTCTTGGTTTAAGTGAGCAGATGTGTGTATGATGTGTATGTATGATTACCCCCAGGTCCACGGGTGCAGATGTGTGTATCTAGTTACCTCCAGATCCACGTTGTCAGGTGTGCGTATGGTTACCCCCTTGGCCCGCGTATGTTGTTTGTTTGAGGATACCTCCAGGCCCGCGTGTGCAAGTGTATGTATGGTTACCCTCAGATCTATGTGTGCAGGTGTGTGTATGGTTACTCTCAGGTCTACGTGTGCAGGTGTGTGTATGGTTCCTCCAGGTCCACGTGTGCAGGTGTGTATATGGTTACCACCAGAGCCGCGTGTGCAGTGGTGTGTATGTTGTGTCTCTCTTTCTCTCTGTGTGTGTGTGTATGTGTGTGTGTGTGTTTGTGTGGTTACCTCCAGGTCCGTGTGCGTGCTGGGCAACGTGTATGGGCGCGGGCGCGGGCTGGAGCTTGGGCTCGGACTTGCGGCTTACGAAGTATTGAGACAGCAACTTGTTGCGCAACTGGTTGCCCTAATCATGATAACACACATATACTCGCAGTCTTACCAACATTCATGCAAATCGATCCTACTGTTGAAGTGCGGTGGGCCAATAAATTAATTAATGGAATTGTGTAACTTTTAAAGTAGCAATCGCTTTTGGAACGAATTGTGATTTTAATGATTAAGAAACATAATAAAAATTTTGCTGAACTCTTCGAAAGATTATAGGTAGCTTTCAACTCTTTCGTTTTACATTAATTCCTCAATAAATCAATGGCGTCCTAATTAACGGTATCGTTCATTCATCTTTCAAAATACCGTCGCGGTCGTAACCGTTATCACGTTTTCGATAGATTAAAAAAAACTGTTTTTAAAGACATGATATATCTGCAGAACATTTAGAGCTTACAATTAACACTGGGCTTGCAAATTGAATTATGGATCATTTTAATCGACAGATATTATCATTCTGTAGTAAACTAAATTAATATTAAATATTATAAGAGTCAGCCAAACAAAAAAACTAAAGCCTAAGTAGATTTTAGTTTATAAAATTATCTTAATACATTAAAATTAAAAGTAGAGTTTTTTGTCTGTGTATTACGTGACTCTCAACACGACTTGCAATAGTGTGACGTCGCTTCAGCAGGATAATTGCTGTATTTTTAGATTATAGGTAAACAGCGTTATCGTGGGTGTTAAAAAAGTTTAAATCTTCATCTCTTTTTAACTCAAGAAAACATGTTTATTTTCAGAAATATTTTTGTAACTATCTCATCCTATGAGGTTGTTGGTATATGTATATATCACCCTGTATTGTATGCATCACTATTTATAAAGAGCGCCTGTTGCCAAGCAACGGGAACATTAGTATAATGATGATGATATTATTTAATTATTAGTTTAATATGTACCTTTTCTCCATACTCTGGGTCGACCGCCATCATTTCTCTCAGAGTGCGCAACACTTTTACGCATAACTTCTCTTCCTTCTCTTCTAGAAGCTTTTCTGTATGTCTAATCAATCTGAAGGGACAAAAAGTCCTAGTTATAACGATGCTCCAATATAATAAAAAAATCCGTTATGTTTTTAAACTTTCTTTTATGAAACATAAAATAATGAATCAAACAATTTAATCGTAAAAGCGTAACAAACAGACACGTGTGTATTTGATTTACAGAATGTAATTAATGATATAAATATTTGACCTTAAGAACTAATAATTTTACGGGGTATAACATTGTCACGTTTTCATTAATTATATTCAGAATTTCGCAAACGTAATTAAATATTAATTATATGAAAGTTAAGTTTGTCGAATCACCTAGAAACAGATAAATGCATACTACTTAGAATGCCTAACATTGATCATTTTCCTGTCTCGAATATCCGTCAATACGGATATTCAGCACATCACTAGTATGGGGTCCGTAATAGTGATGATCACCTGGATATGAAGATCCCGCTGGTATCTGGCTGGCTGAGCTCCCCGGAGCTTGTAAACAGCAGATGAGGCTTGTAGAGGATGTCCACCAGCAGAGATAGTTCGGCCTGCAGCAGCGGACGGAGCTGCTCCTCTAGTAAGGCCACTATCTCCTGGAGACCTTCCATAACAGATCTGTCGTTTTGTAAGTTCGACTGCAACAAGATTAGACGACTATTTTGACACATACAAGACCGCCATTTCTATACGTTACAAGTATGAATAATTTTCTGAGTACTTAGCGGTGATTTAAATAAAAGTATTTAGTATGCACTGCCATAATATTGATATCAAACAAAAGATTTTTATAAGTAATTAAAAATCAAAAACAGTAAAATAACTTCGCCAGCGAATCGCCAAAGATGGCGGAATAGTTATATTTTAAGCACTTTTATAAACAAAAATAAAAAAAATCGTTAGTTCAATATTCCCAAAAATGCAATAAAATAAACATAAAGAAAGAAAGAAACTTATTTATTCAGTGACCATACAAGAAAAACATAGACAAAAAGGATATATTACAATATGACACTGAAAATGCAGCCGTACGCAATACGCAGTATGACGCTGATCTTCCGTGGCAACCTTATGTTCTTGAGAGTACGACTAATCCACGCTCATAACAATATTTAAATACAATAAACTTAATATGCCATAAAAGTATATAAAAATTACATAATACGTAACTATTACAACCAATATACATATGTGCAATATAAATATTCCAATAAGTCACATGCAGAGCTACCACCCACGCAGAAATTAGAGAGCAGCCCACAATCACAGGGCTTTAGCCTGTTGTAGATTAAGTAAGTCTATTTTTTAATTAAATTTAAAACTCGCAAACACAACTTCTTATCGGTGGAGCTATGTTATTCCAACATTTCGTGGTGGAATATCGAAAAGAGCTCACCAAACAGATAAGAGGGAGACCGTGTTTTGATGATTCCAAACAATAAACAAGCAAAGTGAAAAGAACGCCTTGACTGCATATTTAATAGCTTTCACTTATTCAGATATGGGGTAATATGGGCTCTACGTGGAACATTATAACAGAATCAGGCACATGTATTCTGGATTACTTAATATTAATACTTCACAAATCATCGGCATACATATGATAGCCACAATTTCGAATGCAATTAACTAGATCGGCACTGTATGTTAAAAAGAAGTGGACCAAGTATTGATTTCTGTGGGACCCCCCGATCCAGACAAATAGCACGAGAGACCGTTTGGCTTCCATCTTCACTAAAGCGACTAGATAACTAGAAAACCATTTCAAAGCACGGGCATCGAATCCGTAGAAGGAAAGCTTGGACAAAAGCAGACTATGATTAATGGCATCGAATGCGCGAGAAAAATCAAGAAGAGCTAGAACATATCCCTCTCCTACATCTATTCCAGCAAGAATGTCATCGACAACATCCAATAAGGCTGTTGCCGTACCTCGGCCAGTTCGAAATCCAGACTGTTTGGATGGCAAAAAAATAAGTAACTTGTTACAATAAAAGGCTTATGGCAGTTTTTTTTTTCTAATAAAAAATAAAACTTTTTGTTTTTGACATTTAAGTTTACTTTAGAGCAGTTAGTTTAAACGTTATGATGACTTAAAAGTGAATTGAAATTCTATTTAAGTGTACACGGTAATTCCTAGATGTTAAGTACAGACCTGTGAAGCCATCTTCTCCAGCTTCGAGGTCTTGGATGCCTGCAGCCATTTGCTGGTCTGCCGTGACAGCGCCGCCGCCTTCTCGAACACGGTATGGATCTTAGCTTCCAGCTCCAGAGGGATAGCTATGCTCCTGGTTTTGGCTGACAGACATTTTTTTATTTTAAAAAACTCGCAAGATAATGTACAATTTCATTAAGACAAGGTACTGTACGTAAGTCACTTGGAAACACCTGCATTATAATGATTAGTATAATGTAATTATTTAGTATTTACTTTTATATTTCGATTTTGTAAGTGTTATTAAATTTATCCATCTTTATTCATGATCATTTAGCAGTATTTTTTATTCTTATCGCCTTAAATGCATATCCAACATTCACTTAGGTTGACTGATAAAGAATACTGGTTTATTTTAAGCAATAAAAAGTAAATAATTAATAAATAAATGATTAGTTTAGTTATTAATAGAGTGGTGTGCCCTGAAATAAAAGAATTAATAGTATTGATATTCAACTAACCGACTTCACTGAGGGTGCGTATACATTTCTCGACGTTGAGTTTCTGCGGCGGCGTCAGCCACGGACATTGGTAGATACTAAACGTAGTCTGCAGGAGCTTCACGAAGATTGACTGTCGGGTCTGGACGAAAATATTGTACATTTGAATAGGAGGCTGCATCAGGGGTTATCTCTCAGATTGTGTAAGAACGGATGTGCCTTATTTCTTTCATTCAATGTATGGTTTGATAAATAATATAAATTATCTGAGACTCGGGAAAACGCGTTTTTTAGTGGTCAATTTATATTTATCATACTCACATATAAAATCCAACGACGCGCATATAACGGCAGCATTAATCAATACATTTTCTTTAGAGCATTTACATAAATACATAATCATGGTTCAGTCATAAAATATACCTATGTATGCTTTATATAACTAAAAATAATATGTGTATGTTCTTTTATTTTTCTCATGGCTCAAGGCTGCATGTAAAGTTACTACGATCTCAGATTTCCTCAATTGATTTTCAACTCTACTCTCAAAGTATTAAAGCATGAAATCAAATGCAGAAATTTTACAGTTTTGTATTTGACAGAAATCTGTCAATTATTCTATTTTGATTAATTCCCGCCCGGTTTGCGAAAGGTCGTGGGTTCGATTACCATCTCAGGGTGCCAGGCACCAAGAGGATTTTTTAAGCATTTTGTATTAAGAATAGAAATCTGTCAAATTTCTACACTTGATTATAAGATTTAATGTTATGAGGGTGAACTTGCAGCTGTATTAATGTGTAACAACAAAATTTAACAAGAAAATATAGATATTATTTTAAAAAAATGTTGTCACCTGCACAGTGGTGCTTTGATCGCTGAACGGCGAATTGAAGAACGTACATATTGTGTGCATGAGCACGTCCGTCACGTACTCCACCCACGCGCGCCGGGACTCTGACGACGTAGCGCTACCACCACCACTAGCACTACTAGCGCTATTAGCGCTAGCGCCAGCACCACCACTAGCACTAGCGCTGCCACCCGCCATGCTACGCGACCCGCCCGCCACGGGGGACGACCGCCCTGCAATATACACAGTATCATACTAACAGACCCTGAGTCAATACAGGGTTATTTATGAGACTGCATTGCAGCCCCGCCTTGATAGTTGACATCATAAACGACCTTTGAAATACGAGTTTAATCATCACTCGTATTTATAAAAAAAAAAAATCTAAGTGTGTTTGTTTTGTTTATTTTTATATTTGTAATTATTAACATTTTGAACAGTAAATTTAACTTTACTATTGTATGATAGTAAACGAAAGTAAATACATATTATTTCTCTTTTGGTAGTGTTTAATATACTATTACCGATAATCACACTTTTATGTTTATTATATTTATAACTAGCTTTCGCCAGCAGCCCGAGTGGGATATGTTAAATGGGATAAAAAGTCCTATTATCTAAAGTCAGCTAATACCCTATCTGTATACCAAATTTCATCAAAATCCGTTCAGTAGTTTCGGCATGATTGACCGACAAACATCCAAACAAAGGAACATTCACATTTATAATATTAATAGGATATTGTTTAGATTAATTATGCCAAAACAAATATTATATATAAATATTTAATGCTCGTTGTCACGTGACTACAAACAGCGCGTAACGTCACGAACCTCTTACTCATATCAGAAGTTAGAGAATTCAACCTTATGCATGCATAGAACGAACATGGCATAGTGGCGTTTTTGCGGGAAAATTGAAAATTACATTTATTTTTAGATTTTACCTTATTTATATGAATGATATTTATTTAGATATATTTCATGTATAAAATAAAAAATATACCAGTTGTCTACACCCCTATTATCAAAATCCTGCAGAGCGGAAGTTAGACTAAAAAAATTATAATATTGAGCTGTATTTTGAGATCCAAAGATTTATCATATGAAGCTGTTGGTTATCTGTGTCAACACTCATAAATCGGCACTGGGCCCGCGGGCCGAGTTACGGCCGATTCTCCCCAGCATAGGTTAACATCATGATGAATATACTACGAGGGTCAAACTGAAAGTTCTTAGAAAATCAAAAACTGATTACATTAGCCAGTTATTAGTTTTATTATATCTTTTCAAAATATTGTCCATTCACGTCAATACACCGCTGCATGCGATGGAACCACTGGGAAAAGCACTTTGCCCACTCGTCCTTAGGGGTCTCTTCAATGGCATCGCGATACGCAGCCACCGCTTCTTCAGCATTCATAAACCGCTTTCCTTTAAGTTTTTCTTTAATTTTTGGAAATAAATAAAAATCACAAGGCGCGAGGTCGGGGCTATACGGCGGGTGACCCAGTAATTCAACGTTTGATGTCGCCAAATAGTCGATCGTTCGCTTGGCGGTGTGCGACGAGGCGTTGTCGTGGTGAAGGAGGATCCTACTGCGAGGTCGTTTCTCTCGAACTTTTTCCAAGACAAGTGGCAAACAATTGGTAGTGTACCATTCTGCAGAAACTGTTTTTTGATCCTCTAACACAATTGTTGCAAAATGACCTATCCTTCCAAAGAACGAGGCCACCATTTTTTTTCCCGCACTTCGATCTCTCTTCACTTTAGTTGGCAACTCCTCGAAAGGAAACACCCACTGAGCAGATTGTCTTTTGGTTTTAGGATCATAACAGTAAATCCAGCTTTCGTCACCTGTTAGTATGTCGAACACAGCATTTGAGTCACCTCCGTTAAATCTTTCAATCATTTTACGACACCAATCCACACGATGGAGTTTTTGAGCCTCAGTCAAATTATGAGGTATCCACCGGGCGCAAAGCTTCCTGACCGCTAAATGTTCGTGGAGGATTTTGTGCACTTGACTCATACCGATGCCTAAGCTTGTCCGAATCTGTTGATAGGTCACTCTTTTGTCAGTCTCTATCATACGCCGCACAACACAGATGTTATCTTCAGTCGTCGCCGTAGAAGTCCGTCCCTCACGTAAATCATCAGTGAGATTAGTGCGACCACGTTTAAACTCATTAAACCAGTTGTAAACAGTCGCACGAGATGGGGCTTCATCGTGAAAGGCCAATCGTAGTCTATCATAACTTTCTTGTTGACTTAAATGACATCGAAAGTCATAAAAAATCATTGCATGAAAATTTTCTCGTGTTAAATTCATGATGACGTGACACAGACAATTTTCAATTTGCCGCCAAATCGTAAAACAAATGACAAATGAATGAAATATATACTCAGTAATATTGGCAAAGAGTTATATTTTCAAATTTTAGAATTATTTTTTTATTATATTGTTTATAAGTGGCCAGTTCTAAGAACTTTCAGTTTGACCCTCGTATTAGTAAAATTTAATTAAACATAAATCATATTACTAACAAAGTTAATGTAATACGCAATTTACCAGCAATGGGCTCTTGTAGTATGGCTTGCATATCCTGTAGGAATGAGCGCTCGAACAAGTCCCACATGTAGTTGCTTGAGTAGATCTCCTTCATCTCTACCTCAGTGTCTATGTAGCAATGATTCAGGAATCCTACGTACGCTTCCTTTACCTATAAAGGAACAAAAAACGCCTATTTACTTGTAGTCCCAGTACTTTGTACCATTAATAGGACCACGAGGGAGTAGCGTTCCTCTCAGTCCCATCATTATATACCTACGTCCTGTACAATAAACCATGAGATGCAGGGTTAAAATAAATGTTAAACAAAATTAAATTAACTTTATTCAAGCAGAAAAAACTATGCACCTGTATAATGCTACTACAATGTGTGATGACCTTTATTATTACTGCGTTTTTTTTCAGACACCCACCGTTTATCTTAATATTTGTTAGTAAAGGTAGGAGAATAGTACAGATGTGTCTGTCTGTCGCCTGCCCGCTGCCTGTGCTCAAAACTAAAGGATCGGGTGCGGGAACGTCAAATTCGAGCTCTAAGCGTGCGTGTGTGTGATTCATTCTTAGAAAAAATAATAAATCGACATGCCCATGGACTGAAAAATCTCATATGGCTATATCGCTATCGTTTTTAGCCAATTATTCACCCAAACTCTTTCTTTCTTCAAGGTAGATTAATCCAGTACATATTAACTTTATTTCGCTACTAAGATATCACGTCCGCTTTTAAGAAAGTCGTGATTACAACTGATGCCCGAGATCAACACGAACCGTGTGTGGCGAAATAACGGATCAGTGCGTGTATGGCAACCTTATCTATAAGGAATGCCGGTACCCCAGCAGTAGATACATCGATATTTTGAATCAGCGGCTTACCTCAGGGATGCAATGAGGATGGGTGATCATGGCGACTATGTCGTCGAGCGGCAACAGACTGTGGCATTTGATCTCCGTGTACACGTTCTTCCCCATCGTACAGCAAGTGAGCAACTTCACCAGCTGAATATGGTACCTGCCATTATTTATTTTATTTTATTTTGTGGGGGGGCTAACTCATATGACCTATTACAATAACGAGCAAATAACAAGCCTCGACAGATAACACGGTAAACTTAACATTAATCATATCTGACTTCAAAACAAAGTTATACATTCATAATGTAATACCAATTTAAAATACATAATTATATAACCTACAACTTTAATTAATCTTTAGAAATATGGGTGCTGGCTATAATTTTGTTTATATATAGCAAACTATCCTGGAATATGTCAAGAGAATCATCGCTCACGTGACGCCAATTGGTAGAATATATTTAGTAACACGAATCAGAAAGGCATAATCGTCTTTATATGTATACATGTAAGAATACCACAAACTTATTCGACATTTTATTAAATAGTACAACATACTAAAATAAAATTACCGCAAGAAAAATACTGTACTCGCACTAATTATCAGTAGTTTGGCAGTATGGTCGACAAAGGGATAGAGAGGTACAGTGGATAAGCATGTTATTTATTACAAAAAATAAATATCTTCAATCGATTTTAGACCATAATCTGTTGACATTTACATTCAAAATTTATTGCAGAAATAGAAGTTTTATTGATTTGATTTCACCTTGTTTTCAGTCAAGATTCTTTTACCTTTTTATAAATATACATCGGAAAGTTTTTCTTAGTTATATATTTAACATTATTGTGAGTGCGAGGTTAATTATAGATTATAAATATTTAGTAATAAAAAGTATAAAACGCACCTTAGCGCTTCTGGCATCTCGTTGGTTTGTTTATATTGTTTCATCATTTGTATGAAGTTATTGAATGATACTTTGTCGTTGTAAAATACTAGCACGTCTTCACCTGCGTTCACCATCTGAAACGCGTTACACAATTTATACAGAGTTATAAATTAAATACCATCTAATTGACCTCGTAGGACTACAAAACAACAAATGATTCAATGCTTGGAACAAAAATAGTTTTTCAAATTTTATTGAATTGTCGAGACTATAAGTCCCGTTAATTGCTAATGCACTATAATCTTGTCTTAATATCATCTACGTGACGTCATATGAAAATAGAAAGCATAGATAGCACACACGCAAGAGATAAATTATTAATTAATTATCGAAATATTTTTAAATAATCCCCCAAAATATTGTTATTATACATAAAAAACTTTGGGTGTTATTTAACGGGTTAGCATAGTATTCACATTTTTGCTAGCAGAAAAATGTATTCTGTCAGTTGAAATATATGATTGGTCAGCAAACCATGGCTAGCAAACAATATCAAATCAATCGACAATTTTTTACATTCTGGACGGCTGTAATTATTTTTTATTAGCATAATAATCATATAAGCTGCAATGAGTGACGCATGTTAAATACAATTTTGAACAGCACTTAGAGGGAAGCAACTAATCTAATTTTGTGAAGCATATAAAAATAGCAATAATGACTGGCGCAAAATGGGCGCATTCCTTACAAAAATAATGAATGGGTATATAGAGTAAACTAACTAATAAAATTAACTGCCTCCGTGTCCTAGTGGTTAGAGCGTTAGGCTCTCGATCCGAAGGTACTGGGTTCGATTCCCGGTGGGGACACTCTCAAATATTTCTTTGTGAGTTTTTCCCAGTTTGGTTAGGACATTGCAGGCCTGAATCACCTGATTGTCCGAAAGTAAGATGATTCCGTGCTTCGGAGGGCACGTTAAGCCGTCGGTCCCGGCTGCTACCTACAGTACTCATATAACACTCGCAAAATATCAAAATTCACACTAATTAACATAAAACAAGTTGTTATCACTGTAATTTGACAGCTACTAATCGCCGCATAGACACCGAATGACAATACACGCACGCGATTGGCTACTAGTATCATGCGACTACTCTTGCTCTGCCCACTTTTAACGTACATTGCAGACTTTTCAATAAAAATGCAAACCAATTAGTTATTCTTCTAACCATGCTTTAAATACGCAAACCGATCAAATGAACTGCTAACCGGACAAATATTTCTTGCTGACCAATCCTGAATCTTTCTGATCAAGTAGTTATTTTGGGGATAGACTGTTTATTTGACATATACATATTATTTTAAGCTGACTGTATATGATTAAATTACTGATCATTATCAAGATTATTTGCGAAACAAGGATTGCCGATTGTTTTATTTTTCTTGCATACAAAATCTTTAAATGCTGATCAAACGATTAAAATACTGATTTTTGTGGCTAACCAAATTTTTTTTTTGTAAAAGGTTAATTTATGTGATAATATTGAAGTATATGGAAAAATAACATTTACTATGTAATAACGCGACAACAAATGAACATTTTTTTTAAACGTAAGATATGTTTTAATTAAAAAAGTAATGATTAAAAGAGAGTCATTAGATATATTTATTTTTAATGAAGTCGGGTTTACTCATTGTGGAAATCATAGTAGCAGTTGCTGTTTTAGCCAACCATAACAATTAATAACAAAACTTAATAATAACAATAGAAATCAACAAAAACATAACAAAAATTTTGTGTGATTTCAACACAACCCAACTCAATAAGTATACTCGTCATCAGTGTTTATCTGTTAACGGTACTAATTGTTGAATACAATTACGTCACCAAAATGACCGCCAGCCGCATTAGCAATTTGCGGGATTATACCTACATGTTGTGTGTTGATTGAGAGTTAAAAACATTTGATCGTTTCATAAAAAAAAAGTATGAAAGCAGAATATACATGTTTAAAAGCCATACAAGTGTTATTTATGATGTTAGCTATATTGTCCTGCGAGGCTGTTGGTCTTTTATAAGTAATCCTGTATGAGGGACTTTTGTTGTCTCTATAAAATAAGGCTCGTATATTTTTGCACACGAACCTTATAAAGTATATATTTAATTCAAAATAATGTGTAATGGGTCCTCATCATTTGTAATTTAAGATATTTCATTTGGTCTTGCAGGTCCTATTGCGGCGATCTGCAGGAAGTGGAGGTTACCTCCTGCATGACGAGGTCCTGGCTGCGGCGGATGTACTGCGTGTCCGCGTGCACGATGGTCTGCAGGAAGTGGAGGTATGCGGGCCTCCTGCCGCGGGACTCGATGCAGTGGACGAAGTGAGCCACCACCTTCTCGTTGCCTTCGTGAGCGCAGAGGGACGCGTTGTCTTTGAATATTGCGCACACCGTCTGCGCTTCCCTTATCTGATAATTATTGAAGATTTAATAATTTATGCGATTTTATATAGTCAGGTTAAAAACGTTGTAATACGAGTTGCCGCGTTCTGATTGGCGCTCTGCCAAAGTATATTATCGCGGCATCCTTATACGATTATAGACGTTTTCAACTAAATTAGCAACGTAAATTCAGTGTTCCGACTCACCCCAGCGTTAAGGAACAGGTCCAAATGTTTATGTAGTATCGCCTGATTCTGCTGGTTGCCGTGGCAGAAGTGTTGAAGGAACTCATGCGCAAGCGCAAGCAGCTCGTCCATCGCCGCATCATTCTCATCGTGTGGCACCTAGTGTAAGCAAATTTTGTAGCTATGCATTTGCATAAAATCTTAGGACATCATATAACATAGCATATATAGATCCTAATTATATTTACGAACAACGGCTCAGCATTTTTTTAAGCATACTAATATTTAATCAAACTTCAGAGCTGCCCTCTACCGCGGCATATTCGCTTCAAACGGTGGGCTCGCATTTTGTTGTGGTCAGAGCTCTAACCAAACGTAATCTATTGATCCGATCTTTCATGTCTATCTGAATTAAAATTATAGGAAAAAAACTATGCCAAAATGGTTATGTCAATACATTAAACTTTATTAGCAAATACGGTTACATATTCTTCTATTATAAAGCATAGCACAGAAATATACTTGCATTAACTGGTCCTTACTCTTTAAGTGCTCAAAAAGAAGATAATTATACAAGAAAATTACAGATTTTCTTTACAGGCATAAATACTCACCTGTGAAAAATTATAGTATTTGTGTCTGCACTCAATAGGAACGGGAAAGAAACTGTATTGCATTTGGGATCTTGTGCAGAGTTCGAGCCAATAAACAGTAAGATTTACCTCAATGACCTTTGCGTGGTAACACATAAAATAAAATAAAAAACAATATATTGCAAGAATAGTAACTCTAAATATTCGAAAAAAAAAAAACGAAACATCCTAAGCCTATATTTATGTAGATAACATTAGTAAACCTAGTGAAAAAAAACACAATGTCAACCTCCAAACGAGACATAATAAATTAAAAGCTTTTGTACATATTCATTATTTTCTCAAACCTCTATCGCAAAGAAAAAAGGATAACCGTGTAAAAATGTTTAGAGGAATATTCGGCGCAAAATAAATGTTCTGTTGGTAAAATTTGACCTTCACACTTTGAGACTTTTTAAACAACTTTTAGAACGATGAATTAAATGAAAAGCATATTCGTTCTTTATTGTATTTTCAGCTATTTATCTTTCATTGCAAGGTCAAACGTTAATTTGACTTTGCAGATAGAACATTATTCTTCGAGGGTGGTTTGAAATGTTCTCGGCCTGCCCGAGGGTATAATGTAAGGGTATAATGTCCTTCCACAGTTCGATTCTTTATTTAATCGTATGTCAAGTACCATTGTATTGATACAAGAGGATAATATGTAGAAAAATTAAACATGTTTTTATTTTCTTTTTTCTCTTGGTCGGACCGAACAAATAACCATCGCATATTGTCAAATTCCACATACAAAACATTTTCTTATGTTTATAATAAAGGGCCATATCATGGACATTTCATTAAAAGTTAATATATTTCATTTTGCTGAAAAAATAATCGTTACTCTACACACAGATTGTTACATACATACAGATAACTATTCCGAATCGGAATATAATATTTATCAACTCCCGAATAGACCATATAAAACAAGTAAAATGCACTTACGACATTATACGTAGGAGGTGTCCATATTTTGGATAAAACTCTGATATATATTTATAAAACACATATGTATCTATAAATGATTAATAATGTACCTGTAATAGATCGAGCACTATATTATGGACGCCTATGTTCCTCAGCAGACGCTGCTCGTGGCGGCGCGGTCGCCCAGTGTCGCCGCCGCCGCTGTTGCCTTGCGTGCAGTATTTTATCATTCGTTTTAAGATCTGTACCGTAAAAAAACGTGCTCATCCCTCGGGGAAGAAGGTTCGTAAACATAAAGTTTGGGTGTGATACCTTCATTGTCTCAGATACTCCATAGAACAGTTTTAGCTGTTTATTTTAATAGTAATTATAAAGTGGTCTCATTTTTGATTGATCGATGAGATTTGAAATTTTAAACAAAACTGCATCATCGAATTAATTTTGCCCATAATAGTTAGGTATTTTTGACATTTCTTCCAAAGTATCGATATAATGTTACCGGAAGGTGATTAAAAAAATCAAGTTTAATTTTCGCATTTCTCCAATCGATTTTAAGCCCTGATTAGTTAACGGTTAAGTTTAAAATAGATAGCAAAAATAAAGTAAATGTTGATTGAATTAAGGCTGCAGCATATTGGGAACAACATGTAACTAATTACTGTGAAGTTACAAGAAAGGAAATTTAAACATAGATGACCAAAATGTTGTTATTTTGAGCTTCACCGTGCCTCTGAAGGCACGTCGGGCCCGACTGCATACGCATTTAGTACATACCAAACCTTATTGGGCCCGCGTTATTTTATTTTGAGCAATGGGGATATTAATATAGTATAATAATGATTTACCTCTTTTATTTTTTTATATTCGTTGTGGTCATGTTTGCTTGTTCTAGATGTGTCTAGAACGTTGTCGAGAGACGCGTTCCGTTCCAATATAGCGCCTCCCGGACCGACTGTACCAGTTATACCTTAAGGGCAAAGACATAAGATGTAATATTCAATAACACCTTTATATACTGTGAACATTAAAGTATTACAATTTTGCAAAGCATTCCAGAGCATCTTTTTTAGGATTGATATAGCGAAAAACAGAACCACAAATAGTATTAATAACTGCAGGTTCTGTTTTATTAGGACGGAGGAACGAGTGATAACTTTTGGTGAAATATTATGTTTAAGTAATCAAACAGAGATGGGAACAATATTGTCGGTCAGTCACGGGTGTTTGCCAAACAGCCTTGTGCACGCATTATACAAGGGGCCATCCATAAATTACGTCACACAAAATTCATGATTTTTAACCCCCTCCCCCCCCCCCCCCCGTCACATGTTTGTCTATACAAATTCTACTAAATATTGTTCTAATGTCACAGTTGCTCGACCCCCCCCCCCCCCCCCCTTGTAACGTGTGACGTAATTTATGGATTGCCCTCAGTGTCAACTATTGTAATGCATAAAATCTAATTAGGTTATTTTAATATTGCAAATAAAACAAGGAGAAAACAATGGTCTTTGCTAAGTTTCTGTCCGTTCTTGCGAATTCTCTTTATTCAAATTGTAGTATTAATAAAATAGGGATGATAAATTATGAAAATGCAATTCTATTTAGTCCGTCTGTCAGATAATAGAAAAATATTAGATACGTATTTTTTTGTTATTTCAATATAACAAGAAATAGCTTAGATAACAGGCATTAAAGTTGAGGAGTGGGGGCTCGCTACGTCACAGTTGAGTAGAAAACGAATGATTACGAAAAAAAAAACCTATTTTTAATATTTATAAGTGTTTAACATTTTTTAACACTCTACCTGACGGACAAACAAACAGAAATTAGTCATCATCCCTATTCTTGATTAATTACCATATCTGCAAGAATATTAAAATATAATTAGTTCAACAGTCGATTTAAATTGAAGACAACAGTCAAATCACCGGTAATGCGGACAGAAGCCGGATATTTTTCTGTGTTAAAAAAATATAACGTACACCATGAGGGGGACTAGATACAATGCGAGCGAGTGTTAGGTTGCGATCACACCAAACTGACTGTCAGCCCGCAGACTGTGAGCGAACGTTATGCAAGTGTTTGCATTTTCAATCATAATATGTACTTATTTCTTTTACAGCAAACTAACAATACGTCAAGCACAATAACAACACAACACAGTCGGCAGCGGCCAACACGTTTGGTGTGAAAATACGCTTATGATCGGCAAATATCTGACGGAAGTTGCGTCACATCACGTCTGTCGTGGAATGTCAGAATTGATAAATATATGATATTCAACTGTAGAGTGTGATATTCAACACTCGACGGACGATCCGTCGCGTACTAACGCGTACATCAGTGAGACAATTGACAAACCTTCCATTAGATTTGCACCGACCCGACGTTTAAGGTGGAACGTCATGATTTCTGTTGTTTTGGTCTACGCTAGTTAGCGGTTCGATTTCAATTAAAATGTTCACATTATAGAAATATGTTTTATTGATTTGTGTTGTTTTAATATTTGTAAAATTAAATAAGTATTTTTCGTTTATAATCAAAAAATTTATTAATATATTTGAACACCAGCGGCATCTAACGACAGAAAATATATTGAAACAGCGAAGTTCCACCTAATTAGGAACATGGCTTGGTTTAATAAAAGCAACAATATTGTAGCAAATAAAACAGAAAATATATTGACTTTTAATGGATAAAAAAAAATTGACATGCAATTAGTTGAAACTCACTCAGTATCCAAAGGAGTGTTCCACTACAGATAAATAAGGTATTAGACAACAAAAGAAGGGTGTAGAGACAATCCACACTTTTAAGAATATGGAATTAAAATTATAAATAGAAGTCCTATTTTTAGAACAGAATTAGTTAGAGATGAAGGTGCTGATAGACTTAAGAATTCACTTATAATGAGCCTTCTAGTGAATGTTATAAAAAGCTCACAAAATAAACGAACATGTTTTAGCGAGTATTAGCTAATGGATATTAAATTTTGCTTTAAGTTTTTGCAGACAAATAATTTTGTCACTCACATATGACATTTTCGTATAGAATATATTCTATTATATTATAATAATATAATTTTCATAGCGATATATGCTTAGCTGTTCGTTGTTAAGTTCAACAAATTTAAAAACACATTTTTCTGTGACATGTTAATAATGAAGTCTATCAGCACCTTAACAAGTAAATTTCATTAAATTTTCTAAAAAAAAAAAACAATTTCAAAAGAGGTTTGTTTAACATAATTACTACTATTTATAATTACTGATTTGTGAATTCATCTTCAATATTAACAAGATGCAAAACGGACAATAAACACACTAACAAAAAAAAACATCGGGTTAAAAACAAAACTATTATCACTAAATTGTACACGTTGCGAAAGACTGGGGTAAGTAAAGACGTAGGGTAAATGCACAAGATGTATGCCACTAGCTTGCGTTGGTAAATGTTTTGTGTCTTGGTGTTACCAGACACTATTTTACGATAGTCAATGCATATAGCCTGCGCAAGTCACTCGCATCGTGTACACAATATAAAAATATTATAAATAGAGCAGGGAAGTCAGGTTTTAGTGTTAGTTAATATAAAAAAAAAGTTAGCGTTGAACGGTACTTTTACTTCAAAAAGTAATTAAAGGTTGTATGTTATTCATGTGACAGTACTGTAATCGACGCTGCAGTTGGCGTAATTTTTTGAAATATTAACAAAAATGTACTTTTATATATCGTTGACTGTATAGTCTGTCCTGCTCTCAGTAACGAATTTTTGAATAACGTATATTGACGGTTATTGTATTTGATTATTTATAGAGTATGTATTTGTAGATGCCCTTAACAATATATACGCCTTAGACTGAGACAGGGTGCCGCGATTAACTCTCTTCTTCTAGCTAAGGGGAATTTCCGTTTACAAGTAGCCGTATATTTTCTCTGCTCTATCTTTAATATCTCTTTAGTACGTACGTTATCACTAAAGGAAACACATAGATGATAAGTTAGCGATGAGATATACACGGCAAAGGAGATGTACCAGAATAGGTCAGATCTATGTGCACCATCTCAAAAAAAAGGAGTTTATTTTCGGATTTAACGTAATAATACCATTAAATTTAAATAGTCGCTATTACAAATACGAGTGGCTATTTAATAACATAAGTTCATATTTTATAGCACTGAATAATCTTGAGGCAAAAAGGGGAGATTAAATGTGAGACTCTCCGGATGCCGGTATCATTGCCTGCATTATAGAAATCCTCGCAGACGGTGCCTTACCACCAATTAACATGCTCTTTAATTGCATGCACATCTGGTAAGAAAGGAGATTCAGTTAGATCTCATTAAAGGCGATTAAGTTTTATAACTCACCTGAATGTTCATCTAGGAGACCCGCCCGGCCTTTATTGAACACCCACAGTTCGGATTTCTCTACACTTTGTCTCAGTAGATCCAAGTCGGCTTTTATCTGTTTGTAGGACTCTACGTCCGCGTCGGACACCAGCAGTTGAACCTAACAGAGAAACTTAATCATTGTCATTGTGAATCTCACGGCTATGTGACAATTACCCTTACAAAAAGAAGACATCAGTTATCGGTCCATATTTGGTGAGAAATCCTCGGAGCGTATCAATATAATCAGTATATATGGTACGCTCGACAGATTGTCATATCCAATTGGCAAACATCAGTTTAGTATTCAAAATTTAATGTCATATTACGTATATATTGCCCAGTTCTTATCGCAACCAATGATTCGCAATAGATCTGCACTCAAATATACATCTACCCTCAGACATAAACTCTAAACACAATTGGACACACAAACACAAAATGTCTTCATTGTACGCTTCTAACGGGAGACTGATAAAAAAACAAAGATACAACTTGTAATAGCAAGATCAAAATCCTTAACCGCAAACAACATTTCACTTTGGTCGTGCACAGGTCTGTTTATCGAGATGTAGTTGTAGTGCTGCATGCCGAAGTGCAAAAAATGCGAAACCAAAATCGAAATCAGCCTTCGTTGAAAAATTATCAAATACCTGTTTGAATGCGGCCAACACCTCCTGCCGTTGGCTGAAATGCCTGAACAGGAGCGCCAGGGCCCCGGACACCAGCGCGGCTGACGCTCCTTGAGAGCACAGCTGCAATAGCACCCGGAGCACCATACGTCCACCGCATTCGTCCAAATCTAACCCATCCCTGGACATACCACCAATAACAATCAGGCGTTTAAATAATTATTGCCGAAGGCGGATACTGTTCGAGTGTTTCGTTATAATAAAACAATTAGGTTCAGAAAAGCAGCTTTAAATTTATTAACGTAAAATTACTGTCAATACAGGAAAGCATACCTTATGAAAGCGAAAGTGAAAGTCGAGGGAGACCACGACTCGTCTACTTCACATAAATTAATAGGGAATATTACGCAAAGCTCGGCGTAGATGGCAGCACTAGTACAAGAAGTATATAAACTTTTTCCAACATTTCGTCTTTTGTAAATGAATGACACATGATATTTTGACAAAATTACACGATCTTGTTAATTCAACAAATATTAACTCATTATTACTTTACTCTTTGCAAACTACTCTGTGAATGGCGTTTAACGTTTTCACTTACTTCAAAATCAAAAAGAGGAGGTTATGTGTTCGACGGCGATGTATGTTTCTTTTTATGTATGTACAGATACTTCCGCCAATTGTTGACCATTTTAAAAAATTATTTTTTATACGAGAGCTTAATGGACACAGGTGGTCCCATTAAAATTTTATCAAATCTAATCGGTAGTTTTCCTTTTATAACAAAACAAAATACGCTTTTTATCAGATTTCATCTAAATATTTAGATGGTATGCTCATTTCAGCTACAAAACGAAAGATTGCGTATTTTGTATTCATTCAAAATCCGAAAGGAAGATTTCTAGGTTCAACGAGTATGTATACTTTACCCTTTGATGTAATTGTTTATAAAAAAGTAGATATATATTATGTTTATCGACTCTTCTTAAATTGTAAGCCAATTTCTATTAAGCTAGCTCTTTCCATGAGACTTCGCCTGCGCAAATTATAAACTATATCCCCCGCGTATTGTGTAGCTTCCCGTAGATGACAGACTTTATAAATCGGTCGGACTTTTAAAAAACAAGCAATCAAATCTTTCCTCTTTATAAAATGAACATGGATTTTGGAAAAAAATATCATTTAGTTAATAACCCACAGGAAAACTCCGCCCGACTTCAATAAAACTTTCTTGAGTAAGTATTATTTATCACTTTTTTAAAGTTTGAAGTCGGGTCTAATTTTTTAAAGAAGTTTTTATCAGAAAAATGTTTACACGTTCTAGTGTTGCAATCTGATATTAAGTTGCAGTAACACGTCCAGCATGGTATCTAGCGAATAGTATAGACACAGATAGATACTTTACAACTCTGACGTTAGAGTTTATTTTACATTAAAACGCAGTGTTATTGGAACTGTTTAAATCTGATAAAATTTAGTACACATTCTTGTCAACAGAACGAGATTGTCAAAAGAGATTCACTAAGCTTATTATAAAAAATATATTTTAGTCTAAAGTGAACGAAATTGTTCAATTACCTACTCAAAATCAGTATCCACCTTAAATACAAATGCAAAAATGACGGTTAATACTTTTCATATTAATTTATCATGCTTTAAAGGCAACACAAGCTTATAAATATATACATAAATTATCCATGTATATTTGTATTGCGGTTTAATATAACTGTTATTCTGGGTTTCCATGCAGAAAGCTGAAAATTGTTAAGGTATATTAAAAGAAAATTTTTACTCTTCATGAGAAAAAAGAATTACCACTGGATTGGAATGTTCACTCGCACAACACAACACTATCGAATCATCACATATTCACTGGAAAGACATCACTATAATAAGAACGGCACAAAATAAAAAGTGAGAGATATTCACATTCTGTTACTTATATCGACTTTGGTTAATTGAAGTATCAGCCAATTGAGATTAATATTATTACAAAATGAACCTAAATTCTTACATCCAAGAATGAATATTATACATATAGATAATTTAAAGTTCTAAATAGGTATATACCAAAATAATATATAATTTGTGTAATATATTATGCACATTAATCGTAAAAAGATGAAATCCAAAGGTGAAAAATAATTAAAACTCTTTAGAAATTGTCATCGTATTACTATACTCGTAGAAACAATGTAAACAGTTCATTATTATTTAGATGAAACTCGTATTGTACCTCTCTCTATTTAAGGTGCAAATTAAATAGTTGACCTTTTATGAACGCATGGTGTGCATTATATAAGCTAAAATTTTAGTTACTGAATATAAGAGGATTACAAAAAAAAAACTAAAATGATTTATAAAATTATGTTTCAATCTTGTAAAATTTTCTATACAAGACAACTTACAAAAAGTGAACGTTTTCAAGATAATATTCTGTCTTATTCAATAAAGTATTGTGAATGCAAATTTTATTAAATTTAGTAAGGATTTCTATTTTTGAGAAATGGGCGGACAAACGTACACACACAGACGTACTCTTCAAATTTGGCACACACTTTGAAAAGCCCACATAGACTATATACATGTAATGCGCAATTCCAGAAATATATGAAGGTCAAATTGATAACCTTCTTTAATTCGAACTCTTTTAAAAAGAAAATTTATTTGCCTGTGTAAAGACGTAAAGAAATTGTATTTTAATTGGATATTATTATAGGTTAGTAGCGGGTATGTCAACAAAGCATGCTATGCGTAATTCATCTTACTAACAAATCTACATTTTTTGGGAGGCAGCTGTCAGGCACAGTCTGAATTGCTCTGAAATAATTTGTTTAATTAGTACAAGGTATTAGAACATATCTACTCGTGACTAAGTTATCCTTGCTCGTATCTGATATCAGTGTTGGAAAGTATAATTAAAGAAACCACCCGAAATCTAAAAAAAACCGAATAAATATACTTTTGTCGTATGGGGGACTCCCATAAAAATTTATTTCATATTTTTTTATTATGTGTTTTTATAGTAGCAACAGCAATACATCTGTGTCATCATAACATTTAAATTTCAACTTTTTAACTATCACGGCTCGTGAGATACGGCCTGGTGATAGGTTCCTGTTTTATCCTTTGGGTATGGAACCTTAAAAACATGGAATAATTCTTATTTGTTTATACAGGGTTCTTTATCAAAATACAAAAACATAATGAGGTCATGACGTGTCATAAATCTATGTTTTATTCATAAACGAATGAGCAAACTTATACTAGCACGCCGTGTGAAAAACTGACATATTGGAGTCAATTAAATTTTATTTTTAAGAATATTAAATGTAACTAATTATCAAAACTGGTGCAACTAACGTTTATTAATAACGTTAGCTATAACGTTAACTAGATCCGAGATGTTGTTGTAGTTTTACAAATAACCCAGTATAATCTAAAAGAAACGAAAAATATAAGGTATTGCCAACGTTTGGGAGTGCCACAATACAAAAAAAAAGAAGAATATATTTAGGCTTTGCAATCGAAGAAACTATATGGTTCTTTTGAGGAGCTCAATGCGTAGTAGTTAGAGCGTTTAGTCTGCCGGGCGGAATTTAAGCAACTTTCCGGTCATTGGATGGGTGACCAAATTACAAATTTACTATTTCAACTACTCCGTCCTTCGAAAGACACGTTGAGCTGTTGATCCCAACTGCGTCTGCAATCGTTAAACACCCACTAAGCCACTTTTCTGTCATGTTCCATTTCTCCCTTTTCCATTCCATCCATAGGTAAGGCCTGTGCCCCAGCAGTGAGTACCTTAATATGATGATAAGGAAGAATTAGTCCTTTATTATTACCATGATTTTAGCTTCCGTAAGCTGCACTTCTTTATATAGAGAAAGTTTTAACTTGTATATCGCAAGGACATTAGCCTTTGACCATCCTGTCATTCGACTGGTGTACTTACCAAACATATTCTACTTTCCAGCACTGTTATAGAGACCAAAGATTAATAAATCCCCAACTACTTTGTGTAACCAACATATAATTTTAATTACCATTTTCTGGTATTTAGATAGGATCTAACGGTAGGTACAGACAACTGGTGCAATGTGACATGTGACGTTAGACGCCTTTCGTCCCAAATAACGAATGTATAATTTAATCAAAAGGAGTAACCCTCAAAGTGTAAAATAAGAGTTTAACTACATCTGCTGCAAATAGTATGTGTTTACTAAGTATATATACTTACTACTACAAGAACGTACGAAATATTCTATGACATCAAATTAAATCACGTATTCATGGAACACATTTACAGATCTTGAAATATTTAATTATGTATATTTATATAACGCGCCAGGTTTCCGTTTCAGTCACACTCGGCAGATGTCAAATGCGCTTCTTGAATCATTTTGATTGCTGACATTTAACCTTCTGCGTAGGCACATCGTGTTCCATAACATCTATCAACATTTGTTCCTTCATAACACTTGTATGGTGTGGTCACGTTGCACGGTATATTGCGCCAGTGTGTTCTGCCCTTATGCAGCAATCCCTATCTAAATACCCGCACCGGTTAAAGCATGCGTTAGTCACTTTTTCTACGTTTTCAATGAGTTATATTATCTACTTATTTGCAATAAGAATACTTACATGCGTATAACCTTTTATATGTTTAAACCCCATTTTTAAACACGACAACCGTACGAAAAGGTCATTAACAAGTTTCTTAAAAATAAATCATATCATCTCCATAGAATGAAAACTAACGAACTAACAAAAAAATGCGATTTAGCCACTTTTGTAGAAAACCATTTTAATGTTATGCCCAAAACAGATACAATTACCGGATTTTTTATAATTTGTAATCAGTGCACAAATAATATTATGTTCCTTAAGAGAAATCATTGGCATCTGTATTCTATCTTTATCTATTAACCTATCAGCATCGGTGATAAAGAAGAAAAGATATTTATAAACAAATTATATCAATAAACAAGTTATAGCTAATAACTAACTACTTTATTTGGAGGTTAAGATCGTATTTTGGCGATCTACCATCAGTTATAAAAATGTGAATATGAAATACTGTATTTGTTTTCTATGTTCCATTAAAGAAATTAATCTGTGATAATATATATATTGTGCACTGATTATAAACTCACCGTGTACAATACCTACCGGCAGCTGAATATGCCCTCGGCCTGAAGCCCGATCGCCTCGACATCGGGCCGCGCGAGCGAGTCAGCGCTCCGCTCGCTCGCCTGCTCGAACTCCTTCTTGAAGATCGACAGCAGGCAACTGATGCGGTAGTCCAGTCTCACGTCCAGAATAAACTGACACCATTTATATATTTACTATTCGGGAGGTAGTTTTAAATTTGTAATATGTGCAGTGTTTATATTTAGGTATGGGCAAATGGGCAGGTGAAAAAACAGAGCCACAGTGTTATGTGAGTGTTTCAAGATGATGATACGTAACGCTATCGATAGGATTCAGTATCGTTATCGGATTCGCAACCTATTACTGCAAAATACAGTATGTACTTTGCGGAACGGTTTTTTAGAAACACACTTTAATTCAGAAAACAATTTACTAAGCTATAATAAGTTTGAGAACAAAGTAAGTATACCTTTTTTATATTTTTAAATGATAGCGAAAACCGTTTCTATTTTTGATACGTGTGGTCACAGAAATATATCTAGTTAGAAGGAAAAAGTGTACGTACTTCGCGTGCCGAAACGACGTCTAGACATCTTCATTGCTCGCCGCGAGGCTCAGTCCACTTTCGATCGCAATCGGTGTTGGACGAAATTTAAAATGATGCGTTGTTCGATAATTACCTGCTCAAACACCACCAATATGGTTGGATCTTATAGTCGAGGTATTTCCTTCCATCGGTAAGTAACTATTTACCTTGATATATCTATTTTGAATTAAAAATCATTAGTTTTGTTGCTCCGTATTATTTTTATCAAAACGGTCATGTGTCTAGTAATAGCTTTCCATTGCGGCTTTAATTTGACAGTCCAAATTTGCTGTGCTTGTAAAACCATCGATGTATAATTCAAGGTCAATTTGTTGGAGGCCAAAAATGGAGAATAGTGCTGTGCAATGCGATTTTTTTACCCGATTAAAAAAATATCGTCGTTGAAAGCAGAAGAAAGGATAATTAATTTTATATTGAATTACTCTGTAATTTTTGTTTTAGTTTTCCGTATGATCCTAATATTAAAAATAAATAGATTGAAGCAACAGGACTCTAAAGCAAATAGTAGGTATACTTACTGGATATGGAAACTTTAACAAACACCTATATAACATGGGTTATTCTGACAGTCCTCTGAGCAGGGCGTGCATGGAGACTGAGGAGATTGTCTCCTCAGTCTCCATTCCAGTATCACATAAGCGCTTGTGCACTCATGTGATACTGGAATGCAGGAGTCTATTAAGACAAAAGGACAACATATCTATGAAGCCCAAGGATACTAGTGGAAGCATGCGGCAGAGTTCGAGATCTTACGGGCTTCCTGGAGGAGCTGGGGTGGCAGGACTAAAGCAACCCCGTGTCTGGAAAATAGGAACTGAGTATCGAGTTGCAGAAAAGCCCGCCGTGAAACATAACATAACAACACAGGACGTAAAAATGTGTAGCGTGTCGGGAGGGGGTAGCGGCTACTACAAAGTGTTTGCCCACAGAAAAATGCCGATTTCTATTCTATCGCATAAAATCTTTTTTGCGCCGATTCACTAAATTACATACGTGAGTTCGTGACATATACATAATATTTAAGCAAAATGGTAGTCTGTCTATAAAGTCATGAAAAAAATTAAGGGCGCTTCGATCGTGCACGTAGCAACCCTGTGTAGTGAGACAAATGATTTTGATAGTAGGATTTTTTTTTTACTTTTATTACCCCAGAAAAGGTAAAGAAAGGCGTATAATTCGTAGACAATGAGTTTATTCTACATTGAAGATTACAATATAGTAATCGTAATTTTTGATAAATCTTTTTTTTTATAATTGCCAAGTTGTTTTCTCGTTTTACTGCAATGTGTGCTTGTATTCGATTAAAGCCTGTTACTTTTGACACTCCTTGTAAGAAAACCCAATATATTTCAGAATTAAACGCATAACTTCTAGGCTACAATTAAAATCCAGATCGGTTTTGGCAATCCACTGATGTTTTCTTCATGTAGGTACCTCTTTTTTTCACAGAGTAAAAGAACTGAATCTTTTGTCGAAGTGCACAAATGTTGCAGTTAACCATTTATTTCTTAGGACGACTATCTATGTTTCCCAGGGGTTTCAAATATGCCACCATTTTTATAACCTTCATCTACAATACGTAGCACTATATTCTCTGATTTTCCTGAAAGTAAGTTTTAAAAATATAATACCTATAGGTATTTGGCAAAAAGAATGGAATCGCCACAATGATCAAATTAATGCTATAATTTTAGTAATATAAAGCACAAACTTTTTATTGGCGTACATAGGTAAAAATCGTACATTCCTAAAAGGTATATTTTTTATTCAGATTAAAATCAATGATAAATTTGATTATCCAAAAGTATTGAAAATTCGGGCCGCACTACAATATAGCCTTCTAACATTTTCAATCTAACCTATAAATGCATAATGTAATCAATACTTCTTTTAGACTTAAATTCATATATTTAGTAAATTTGAAACTTCTGGTAACCAAAACTCAATCAGTAACACGATTACTGCCATTCGAGCTTTAACATTCTACAAATATGATAAAATGTGTCCAGCTTCTTATTCCAATAAACATCACTGAAAAACTTTATAAATAATATCCTGAGCTTCACTCTGATTAATTCTCTTCATTTTTAACACTTTTCGACGGAGTTTAGAAGAAGTAGCTTCAGTTTAATCAAAACAAATCAAAAATGCAGAAAATCGAGCTAAAAAATCAAGTTGTTGACAGTCGATGTACTTTGATTCAATGTTGTGATACTTGTGTCTAATGTTAGTTCCTCAAACATTCTTTTCATGACTTTATAGACAGACTGTACACGTTGGTCTCCGTCGATCGATATCGTTTTTCAATCGATAAGAATCGGTATGCCGTTTCAAATACAACATGTATTCGATGCATGTGAAATTATGTCTTCCATCACTAAATTAAGATCGTGACGTCATGATACCTACACAAAATGTGGCACGCTCGGTCTCCATATAAATCGACGAACATGTTCCTTCTAACTAGATTTATTTCTGTGCGTGTGGTGTTTGTTATAATATTTGTATATCAGTGCGCGTGCCAGTATAACCAGTGTAAGATATGTTACCTGCAATATTTCAATGATCTTGAGCTTGGTGTCCATCACGAGGGGGTGCTCCCGCGCCAGGACCAGCGCGGAGGCGCTCCGCTGTAGGCCTCCGCCCCCGCCCCCGCCCACGCCCTGACTCTACCGACAGTAGCATATCAGACTAGCATTCGTAGAGTACTCTGCTGCACACTGCTGCAGCTCCGCGCATACAATATTGTACCATTACAAATAACAAAACGAATTGAATGAGGCTTTGAATCATTTCCAATAAACCTACTCGTACATTGTACTTACGTTTCTAGCGACTGATCCGAGTGTTATGGAAGTCATGACTGCGCCCATATCGCCGATACTGCGCAAGACGCCTCCTTCAGCTATAATTGAAAAAATAATAACAAGGGTCATTAACGTGAAACCACATATACATAAAATGTTGCCTACGGTTTCATATCGTTAATAAAGCATATTTATGAATATAAAAAATGCTTATATAAATTTTTACCTCATTTTTATTTCTGTGAAAAAAACTCTAGTGTGTTAATGTTTTGTTCTAACACAGTTATTGGAACTACATCTATCATAAACTTACGCTGTTGCACTTCCTTGACGTCTTGAGTAGCTTGCAAATTATTATAACAAATGAACATCTTTAAATAATATTAATAAAATATTGCGGACGCACGAATAGAAGTTCTTAAACAATATAATGCAATGTATACTCACATTCAACTTCACCAGACAGCGCGTTGGTCTCGTGTAATAAATCTATAGCTGTCACGCAATCCAATATGCTCAGTAGTGTCTTTGTTAGTCGAAGCAGATCGCTAAAGCTAAACAAACAAACGAAATTAAATAGTTAACATAAAATAGTTCGCATGACCTCCGTTGTCGGAGGAAAATCTAAAATTCGACTCTCAGTCGGGTCAGTATAGAAAATGAACTTTTGAATTTTGGTCCGGACATGGGTGTTGTGATACCTTCGTTGTTTAATGTACTCTCTAGTAAAAGAGATTTATAAGTTTAGATAAGGATCCGGGATCCGGTGGTTGTACTCCCTTTGGCGAATAAATATAGATAACATACATTACTTAGATTTCCAAATGAGTAGCTAAAGCTCTCGTAATAAAAAGTATCTGAGATAGCGATGGTACCACAAAAAACAAACCAGAGAAAATACAGAAAAGTATATTTTTAGATTGCCCCGATCGGGAATCGAACCCTGAGGGTGAAACTTCGAAACCGGCAAGCGAGCCACTCAGCCACGGGGGTTGGAGGAGGCTTATTCCCGACTTACCTATAGAAGCCGAAGTATATAAGCTCCCTCGCCAGCTTGACCACTTCGAAGGTCAGTTTGTTCTGGTCGTGGTCGCTGAAGTACCACGTGCGCGTGACCACGTTGCACAGGTAGTCCTCCACGAACCGTATGGTGGACGCGAACTGTTCCTTCACCTTCGCGCGGTTCGCGTCCGGACCGCCTTTCACGCATTGGTAACTGTCATATAAGTGATAAGCAAATAAATCTAAGTGATGTACAAAACACTTTAAAAATAAAACAAAAGAAAATAAGTTGCATATTGGCTTGACTAAACGAAATTCTCAATGCAGTCGGGGGACCTCTAAGATTACAAATGTTGGACTATTTAATTTTATTAGTTTTCTGTTATTATTTTGAATACTGTATGGGCGCTTGTGCACTACACTGAATTTTTAGGTCCGGCGGTCCGATTTTTTCCGGTCCGGAATGATATGAAAAATCCGGATGAGTAGCTTGTGCACTTGTCCGTTTTTTTCCTGATCGGAGCGGCGCAGTGTAGGGCAGCTCTTTGAAGCTACACGTCACTTACGCTATGTACGATGAGATTTTTGGAACGTCGGTAATTCCGTTCGAAGACGTAGAAAGGTATCTAAATAATGATCTGATCGTCTTACATAAACCATAATAAATTATGGCAAGACGAATGAAGCATTTTTTTACTACAATCGGATGACTACTATCAGATGTAAAAACTTATACCCTTACTAATTTAGGAACAGCATTATTCACATACAATAGTTAAAAATATCTGTGACATTAGAATAAAATTACTGATAATGGTCTAGTACTTGATGTTTAACTTTACGAAATTAGTGCCGTGTTAGCGGAGAATTATTATGCTAAATTAACTTTACGAGATCAGTTGACTGTATTATATATAGGCATAATTTTATACGCGTGGTGTAGTTTCTTTGAGTAGAAATATTATTCCCTTAGAATACTTATTTTTTTTTTATTTATTAATGACACAAACATACATTTAAAATTTTATTAAATGCGAAAAAGACATTGAGTGTCACTTAATTACTTTTCTTAATCTTCTGTTTTTTCTTTATTATTACTTCTGTTGTCAAATATTTATCTATAATTATCAATTCTAAAAAAAATTTGATAGTGGCAAATTTCCAGGCAAACTTTCATCCCTATTTTTCGCGATAAAATGTAGCCTATGTCCTTTCTTAAAGTTAAGTCTATTTACTATATTAATTTCCATTTAGATGAGTTCAGTTGTTTAGGCGTCTAAGCGTAACAACACTTATTTATCTTACCTTAAGCTATCGATACTTTTAATACGAATCTAAAATCTAGCTAAGTATCGATACTAGAACCATACGCTGATCAAAATAGAACTATACCGAGTTTGCCAAAGCATATGCAGTGATATATACCAACTATATTAAATCATCATATAAAATATAGCATTTTATAATCAACAATAAATATCGATTATAAGTTTATTGGAAATTAACAATATTGCCGAAATAAATATCGATTCAAATCGATAATTTTTTCCCAAGCCTATTCCTTATGAATTTTCCGGATCTCGGATACAGCAGTGCACAAGCGTAAACACGTTTTTCATTGCCGCCATCACGGACCTGTAAAAACCGATCCGGAATAGAGAAAAGTAAAATTCCGGACGGTAAAATTCCTGACAGTGCACAAGCGCGCATTTCCTACATATGGCCTGACATATCGGACCTGAAAAAATCGGACCGCCGGTCATGAAAATTCAGTGTAGTGCACGAGCGTCAGATCAGTATTATTCTCTGTAATATTTTATATAATGGAAAGAGTTTTCATATTTCAATGAAGTCACTTTTTAAAAACAATTTGAAATCTCTGTATGAAATAAAACAGTGAGAAAAAGCGGCCCTCGCCGAGTTTCTTGCCGCTTCTTCTCTGTACAAACTCTCCCGCCGTAGATTTACGAACCGATGGCGTAGCTTTCGACTTTCAGAAGTGAGAATTCAACGGTCCCCCGAATGCAATGACATTAAGCTGTAGTCGATATGTGTACTGACTCGTGTATATGTATCCGGTCGCAGACCTCCGTCCAGAGGCGGGCGTACTTGACGGGCGTGACCGGCTCCTGCGGGTCCCTGTCCGCGTGCAGGTGCAGCATCAGGCGACAGAACGAGGCTCGCAGCTCGTACGACAGCTCAGAGTTAGACATGCATCTGAATACACGACACGCATAATACTTGATAAGCACAAATGAATTAAAGAAAAAAAATTTTTTTTTTTTGCTTTTTCATAGGTCTAAGATTGTTTTTCCGTTGAAAACTAAACTTTCTAAAGTATGTGTTTTATTAATTTTTTTTTTGACAGTAAGATTATTAATACTTAAACGTTATAAATAAATTATGGCGATACATTGAGGATATGTCACACGACTTCAACCATTTGTAGAAAATCTATCTCCTCAATTAACTTACTATCTAAGTAATTGCTTGTTAACTTCAAGCGATTTAACTTATTTCTTCTTTTTTGTAACAGTATAATAAATATAATTTATTTATCCATTTGTATCCAGGTATAATCCCTTTACCAGTCATTAACAGTGATTGGAGTAGGAACATTGAGATAATTGCTTGGATACGTATACATTTATATAGATATTCCTCCAGAATTCATTATAATGATTTTTTTTTCTGGGATAAATAAAAAGGTAAGTGATCTGCTATTAGTTACTTGAGTATGAGATTTATATGCAGCTGCGGGCTGAGACTGTTGAGCGCGAGGTACTGCCGGTTGAGGCACATGTTGGAGAACAGGTCCAGTTGGTGCCGGTAGTACTCCAAGATGGCGGCCGCGTCGCCGCCGGGCTCCATGCGCGCCTCCTCCGCCAGCTCGGACAGCAGCCGGGAGTTCTGCGTACAACCAGGGATAACTGCGAGTTACCGGCCACGGCCGAAATTACACTAAAACCTAATGGCGTAGGTTTTAGTGCCTAATGGCGCGATCATATTTCTTTCAAGATTTATCGACGATAGCGGTACGCTTAATTTACGTATATTCATTTAAATATTGATCTTATACCCAGTTTTAAAAATGCTGGAATATTATGGAAATGTGATTAATTAACAGTATTATCAATATATTTGTGGCTTGTGATATGTTTAAAAAAATATACACTGTTTGGTTGCGGTGCTACTCTTGCAAAGGTTTTGCTGTATATTACTCAATGGCGTTATGATATCTAAAGCATAAGCAGATTTTATATTATAAATTAATGATGTGCATAATATTATATCGAAATTTTCCGTTTCGATGTATTTTAACTCACCTTTTTATTATTCCAAACTAGTATCACGTCGTCTTCGACTGTATATTTGTCTTTGTCGTCGGGATCCAATGACGTATTCTCGTATTTTGTAGAAACTAATCTGTAAAATGATAGAAAATATATTAATTATATATTTGCAACTCCTTTTGTTCGCGATAAAATGGTAACGTTGTCTTTTCTCTAGGTTAACTCTATCGCCGTAGCAAACTTCACTACAATCGGTGATGTGGTTTAAGGCATGGAACTGTAACAGACAGAGTTACTTTCGCATTTATAGTATTGATAGTGGTTTCAAAGTTACCTATTCGAATTAAAGTACTTATTTGGATGATAAACATTTTTGCTATAATGCAATTTCATTTATTATTAGACTAGATTAAGTTAAAGCCTCCAAACGAACAGACATGATTAAAAAACTTATATAAAATGCTACTTTTATAGTGGTCCTTCGAATTCGAGTTTAGCTAAAGTAATAGTCTTGTTTACCTGGTCTCTATGAGTATGTCCGAGTTATTAGCGCACAAAACGCTCTTACAGATGAGTTCTTGGGTAACAGCGATTGCTTTCTTGTTCGAGATACACAAATCGCTTAGATAATCCAAGAAACGTGACTGCCAGGTCTTCATGTTCTTGCGGACCAGGCCTAAGGAAGAAGATCCATAATGAAAACGCCGCTGATTTTTATTTCAGGTCTAAAACATCTATAATTTATAGATCGAGTGAGATGAAGAAGTTCAACCTTAAAATCACATGGGGAAAAAGAACCCATCACAACGAGGTAGGGATATAATATCTTATAAAAAAACAGATTTTAATTGTTTGTACAAAATCTGTTTTTTTTTTTTTCTTCTTTGTTTATCATCATCAGCCTTATTTTACGTCCCCACTGCAGGGGCTCTAGCCTTCCTTATGGATGGCTAACTAAGGAAGATGAACCATGACCTTCCACGTTGGCCTCAATGCGGATTAGGGGGTATTGACGACTGCAAATTCAGCTGGGACCCAACGGCTTAACGTGCCTTCCGAAGTAAGGAGTAGCTCGAGATAATAATTATTTGGTCACCCATCTCGTGACCGACCCTTCCGCGACACTTATCCACTATGCCACCGAGCTACAACATACTCTCTGTCCAACGTAATAATAAATTGTGTACTGATGTGTGTGTGTTGTCAAAATAAATGAATTCTACCCCATTCTACTCTAAGTCTAAGGCTAAAATAGATATTTATTAGTCTGACCTACGAACGTCTCAATCTCTGAAGCGGTGATGTGTTTCTCCAGCAGCTTCCTGTTGTTATGCAGTAGAGCAGTAATGGTATCTTCTGCCAGTATGTCATACCCTATCTGCTTCTGCATGAACCCGAAGTGCTTCGCTATGTATTCCTAAAGGAAACAATTTATTAGTTCAATCAACTGTATGAGTATATAATACTAGCTGCCTGTGCGTTTTTCATACCGCATCATTATGTTGGTGAAAGATTTGAAAAATCAGTTGAGTTTTATTAGATAAACAAAAAATCTAATAAAATAATATTAGTAGAGATAAAATCGTGTCAGTTCCACCTCTTTAAAACTCGAAAATAGCGACACAGATTTTGATGATTTGCCGTTTGTTGGCTTTGTTTAGCCTCGGAATGGCATAGAATAGCTATTAAAACACTTGGAAAATTGTTGAAAACAAGTTTATGATATATATTATGATGCGGCTTTATAATTTCTGATTAAGCGTATTTTAATAATTGTTACGTCATAAAAGCAAAGTCAAGCAAAGAGACATCATAATACAAGTTTATTAACGATGACGATGTAACGTTTCTAATGATACCATACATTTACATACGTCAAGTTATTTCAAAAATTACGGTGAATAATAAAGGTAATAAAAAAACACATACATACTTACATGCACACATTAACTTTTAAAACAATACACTCCTTTTTTGGGTATTTGTGTAAAAATTCGTAACTAAACATATCATCACCAAATGCGGCAACATATCACTTACTTGGTTTTTTCTGTAGTCTTGTTGACTGAGTCTCAATATCCTGTAGCAGAGACGGAAGATGTACTTATAAGGGGCGTAGCGGGGATCGTATAGCTCCTCTATTTTCAAAAACGGTTCGCCCTCCGTGGTCTCTTGAAATGGACCCTGGATAGTGACAATGTAAAGTGATTTCAACGACACTATATTGCTACAAACAATTTTGAAACTAAATAAAGGCTTCAAGGCAGTTTACGGCAAAAAAATGCAGTGGCTCTATCTAGAAGAGATATATCATTATAAGGAATTAACTATAGAAGGGTTCAAGAAAGGTTATTGAATTGAAAACTAACATTATTTACGTACATGTGTTGGAAAAATATGTACGTTTTCTACTATATAATAGGGTAGTTTCGGTAGTGAAAAACAAGCCATGTAATTGCACAAAAACTAAAATTTACATCATAATAAACAGAGAGATTCTGATTTTGAGTCATAAAATCGCACGATTATCTTAATAACGTAAAATTAAAAGTCCCGCCATTGTGTGCAACAACTGTCATAAAGATTAATCATTAAGATATAATTCATAAATAAATTAATTATAAATTAAATTCATAGATGGCACTGTTCTAAGTTTGTTTATATATTTTTTATTTCGTAATCGATCTTAAAATGGCATTGCTCTTTACACCATGCTTCTGTTTTGTGTACATATCAGAATGTCGTCATGAATATAACCGAAAGCGTTTTCGGGGGTATAAAAAAAAGTTTAAATGTGTTTATTTTTCCGTAATATTATTATGGCTTTTTTAATGAAAATAAACAGTTACATGTATTATTGCAAACAGAGTAGAATAACCTATTTTTATTTAATTATCACATTTTAAGGACTTACTCCATTACATCGTAGTAAAATAGCGTGTTATGAACGGTATCAAGCTCGGAAGCAAACGGTATGGTCTATTAAGGCATAGCAATGCCTACTGTAATGTAATACTGACGCGTGCGCAGTAAAGGACATCTTTTAAAACGCCGTATAATCGTTCTGCTATACTCACTTTCGGCGGTAACTACGCGTGCGCTAGTAGATATATAGCGAGGGTCAGGTAGGATCTCTGTTTCTAACCAATAAATCGCTCGGAGCCTGATTGTCCATCGCTATCAGTAATAACTCTATGGTTACAAGTCATACCTGTAATATCTTGAACAGCTGCCGCAGTATGTATTGTTCCCTCAGCAGTTTCTGTCTGTCTCTATTGGGGTTCTCCACGACAAGTTCCAGGGCTTCGGACTTGTTCGGCTCGTTCTCGAAGCCCGCTATGAAGTACACTATGTCTTGCAGTAGGCTAGTAAGCGCTCTGTGGTGAACGTAATAAAATTTAATTGGTTATTAATATCCCCACTGATGAGTCTCTATACCTACTCGAATAAGCACAATCACGGACTCTGTCAAGTGTAACCGGGATTAACGTGATAACCTGCCTTCAGAAGAACGTAAGAGTTGTGTCACTCATTCCACCCCAGCGATAAACGCTTAATCTCTTAAGCTGGACATCAGATAGGTTTTGTAAGTACCTGGTCCGTAAATTACACAATTTTCGACCCACCAATAAAATAGTAGAGGTCATATTTGCAAGTTTCGACTATAACACCACCTAATAAGATTCAATAGGTAGGTAAGGAAATGAACGCAAGACTAAAATGTACACTAATAGATACTTGAAGTATAAATATGGTTTTCAATAATCTAGCCGCATCTAGTGTGAGAATTACTTAGTTAAATTGCTAATATCACGTGGTATAGAATACAGCATAAGATAATAATAATAATGTTTTATAATAATTGATAAAACATATTTATATATATATATATATATTATTACATCACACATCATAATTGGTTATTGGTTGTGTTTAAACCAACAACCAATTATGATATAGAATAAAGTATATATTAATTCATTGAATACTTACTTTCTCTCATTGTGTTCTATATTTCCGTGATGCAGTTTAGTCGACAAGGCAGATAGCACTTTGCAAGCATCATTCGCAAAATCTAAATCCCTCACTTCACTAGGTGACACTGATATCAGGGCGAAGGCTTCTTTATCTTCCTTCACAACCGAACAACCCACCTGGACAATAAATTAATGCTATTGTTGTGCCGGATCTTTAAAAATGGCTATTCACAGATACGGATCCGAATACGGATATTTGGCGACTTTTCTTCTCCCTTGGATATTCATGGATACGGTATTCGCATCACTAATTATTACCACCAAAACATTTAAGGAGCAGCTGACATTTCATCCAATACTATATTAGTTGATGACGTTTTCCCTTAATATAAGTTGAACTTGAATGTCATTTTGAAGGAACAATGTCCGTAATCGAAATACTCGAAAGCCAGTTTCAAGGTTATATCAAAGGTTCGATTCCCGGTTAATGTAGAAAATAAAATTTCCTACATAATCTAACGCCGGGGATGTTGATATACGTTCGTTGTTTAAGATTACCATAATACTAATGCTTTAAATACTTAATTTGTAATCTGAGCAATGGAGCAATTAATACTTATTATTATTGAGTATAGTTCAGGCCTTTTCAATGCCGCCTACTGCCAATATTCTGCGGTCCACTCCACCACAAATTACACCTGACACTTATACCTTCTAGTTATAATAATTTGGACAACCCTCGGTCATATAAAACGTCAACAACTTTGAACATAAAAATAGTGGAATCTGTTTTATTATTACCTTAGACATGACAGGCTTCTCTTCGTCTTTGTCTATGGGAATCGATGTCGAATGTACCCAGGTGTGCGTGCATAGATGCTGTAACCTGAAATGAACATTAACTATTACATACGATACATATACATGTAAAAAAATATCAGTGAACCAATTTAAACAGTTCGTCATTGCAAAACCACCTTTTTTTATAATCCAACGCTGAAAATAAAGAATAAATGTAAAATCACATTGCTATGTATGGTTAACCTATTGTATCTTGTAGTTAATAACCTATTTTTATAAATACGGCTGCATATTAAATTTCAAGATAATTGTGCTTAGATTAAAAACACCCTGAATAAGTATTGCTTTTATAAAGTAATTTTTTTTATACATAAATGTACTTTAGAATTGTATTTTTGTGTAAATAAAAAAGGAATATTATACTTGATCAATTTTGCATTCATAACGCTATATTGATGTTAGTCCTAAAGAAAAATGTTTAAAAAATTCACCAACCCCTATGTACTTAATATGGGATTATAACAATAATACCTGACGTAGCTGCTCTGTGGCACAGGTGCGTCAGAGTGCGTCATGGTGGTGGGGTCCAGCTCGAACAGGGTGGCGATCTAACAATAATACCTGACGTAGCTGCTCTGTGGCACAGGTGCGTCAGAGTGCGTCATGGTGGTGGGGTCCAGCTCGAACAGGGTGGCGATCTAACAATAATACCTGACGTAGCTGCTCTGTGGCACAGGTGCGTCAGAGTGCGTCATGGTGGTGGGGTCCAGCTCGAACAGGGTGGCGATCTAACAATAATACCTGACGTAGCTGCTCTGTGGCACAGGTGCGTCAGAGTGCGTCATGGTGGTGGGGTCCAGCTCGAACAGGGTGGCGATCTAACAATAATACCTGACGTAGCTGCTCTGTGGCACAGGTGCGTCAGAGTGCGTCATGGTGGTGGGGTCCAGCTCGAACAGGGTGGCGATCTAACAATAATACCTGACGTAGCTGCTCTGTGGCACAGGTGCGTCAGAGTGCGTCATGGTGGTGGGGTCCAGCTCGAACAGGGTGGCGATCTAACAATAATACCTGACGTAGCTGCTCTGTGGCACAGGTGCGTCAGAGTGCGTCATGGTGGTGGGGTCCAGCTCGAACAGGGTGGCGATCTAACAATAATACCTGACGTAGCTGCTCTGTGGCACAGGTGCGTCAGAGTGCGTCATGGTGGTGGGGTCCAGCTCGAACAGGGTGGCGATCTAACAATAATACCTGACGTAGCTGCTCTGTGGCACAGGTGCGTCAGAGTGCGTCATGGTGGTGGGGTCCAGCTCGAACAGGGTGGCGATCTAACAATAATACCTGACGTAGCTGCTCTGTGGCACAGGTGCGTCAGAGTGCGTCATGGTGGTGGGGTCCAGCTCGAACAGGGTGGCGATCTAACAATAATACCTGACGTAGCTGCTCTGTGGCACAGGTGCGTCAGAGTGCGTCATGGTGGTGGGGTCCAGCTCGAACAGGGTGGCGATCTAACAATAATACCTGACGTAGCTGCTCTGTGGCACAGGTGCGTCAGAGTGCGTCATGGTGGTGGGGTCCAGCTCGAACAGGGTGGCGATCTAACAATAATACCTGACGTAGCTGCTCTGTGGCACAGGTGCGTCAGAGTGCGTCATGGTGGTGGGGTCCAGCTCGAACAGGGTGGCGATCTAACAATAATACCTGACGTAGCTGCTCTGTGGCACAGGTGCGTCAGAGTGCGTCATGGTGGTGGGGTCCAGCTCGAACAGGGTGGCGATCTAACAATAATACCTGACGTAGCTGCTCTGTGGCACAGGTGCGTCAGAGTGCGTCATGGTGGTGGGGTCCAGCTCGAACAGGGTGGCGATCTAACAATAATACCTGACGTAGCTGCTCTGTGGCACAGGTGCGTCAGAGTGCGTCATGGTGGTGGGGTCCAGCTCGAACAGGGTGGCGATCTAACAATAATACCTGACGTAGCTGCTCTGTGGCACAGGTGCGTCAGAGTGCGTCATGGTGGTGGGGTCCAGCTCGAACAGGGTGGCGATCTAACAATAATACCTGACGTAGCTGCTCTGTGGCACAGGTGCGTCAGAGTGCGTCATGGTGGTGGGGTCCAGCTCGAACAGGGTGGCGATCTAACAATAATACCTGACGTAGCTGCTCTGTGGCACAGGTGCGTCAGAGTGCGTCATGGTGGTGGGGTCCAGCTCGAACAGGGTGGCGATCTAACAATAATACCTGACGTAGCTGCTCTGTGGCACAGGTGCGTCAGAGTGCGTCATGGTGGTGGGGTCCAGCTCGAACAGGGTGGCGATCTAACAATAATACCTGACGTAGCTGCTCTGTGGCACAGGTGCGTCAGAGTGCGTCATGGTGGTGGGGTCCAGCTCGAACAGGGTGGCGATCTAACAATAATACCTGACGTAGCTGCTCTGTGGCACAGGTGCGTCAGAGTGCGTCATGGTGGTGGGGTCCAGCTCGAACAGGGTGGCGATCTAACAATAATACCTGACGTAGCTGCTCTGTGGCACAGGTGCGTCAGAGTGCGTCATGGTGGTGGGGTCCAGCTCGAACAGGGTGGCGATCTAACAATAATACCTGACGTAGCTGCTCTGTGGCACAGGTGCGTCAGAGTGCGTCATGGTGGTGGGGTCCAGCTCGAACAGGGTGGCGATCTAACAATAATACCTGACGTAGCTGCTCTGTGGCACAGGTGCGTCAGAGTGCGTCATGGTGGTGGGGTCCAGCTCGAACAGGGTGGCGATCTAACAATAATACCTGACGTAGCTGCTCTGTGGCACAGGTGCGTCAGAGTGCGTCATGGTGGTGGGGTCCAGCTCGAACAGGGTGGCGATCTAACAATAATACCTGACGTAGCTGCTCTGTGGCACAGGTGCGTCAGAGTGCGTCATGGTGGTGGGGTCCAGCTCGAACAGGGTGGCGATCTCCGACGAGTGCGGCACTGACACCAGCTGGTACGCCGGCTCGCCAATCTCCACCACCGCATCGCTGGCAAATTACCAATACATTTATTCAATCATTCATGTACACTTGTAGAGTAATCAAAGGAATGCTCAAACTCGATATCACCGATTCAGTCTCGCTCTCACGGCACGGTAACCTCATGAGATTGAAGAACCAAAAGCTACAATTTACAACAGCTTTTGATGAGATTTCGAGTATCTATGTATCAGTGACAGTCAGTATATCTCAATAGTATATTAGAATAGATACACGACTGTGAATTGATTATATGATTGAAAAGGTTTAAAGATAGAAAAATCACTGTTTCTGTAAATGGACTTTTAGAGAAATTTTACTATCGGGTTGGCACAAAAGTAATGAGACACTTGGTTTAAGTTTTTACTTTTTTATTATTATTACAATAAAAAAAGTTTAGTCAATGATGTAATAGCCATTAGTATCTAAGACTTCTTGCCAACGATCCGGCAAAGTTTGGATGCCTTTTGCCCAGAACTCTGATGGCTGTGCCTCGAAAAAGTTGTTCAACTCCGCCTCTACGTCAGAGAAATCATTAAATTGTTTACCCCGCAAATGCTGTTTCAGGGCTCTAAACAAATGATAGTCTGATGGGGCGAGGTCTGGGGAATAAGGTGGGTGGGGTATCGTCTCCCAGCCCAAGTTCTCCAACTGCCGGCGAACCACAGATGCGACGTGAGGTCGAGCGTTATCGTGCAGTAAAACTACATTGACTCGTCTTCGTCGTTTTTTCTTGATAGCGGCAGATAATTTGGTAAGCTGGGTTGAATATTTGTCAGCGTTTATAGTTTCATTGTGTAATAGCTCATAAAACAGTATGCCTTGCGCATCCCAGAAACAGCAAAGCAGAATTTTTCGGCGGTTCTTTTGACTCGGCTTCGGTTGAGTTGGTGGCGTTTCTTCTCGAGGCAGCCAAAAAGCACGACGTGTATCGTTCTCGTAATAAATCCATGATTCATCTCCAGTAACCAGATCTGACAAAAACTCTTTACGTCGGGGTCGCAGCAAAAGTGACTGACAGATAGCGACACGGACTGCACGACTGGCGTCTGTAAGGATGTGCGGTACCCACCGAGCCAAAACTTTTCGATAACCAAGCTCATGCAGATGGTGTTCCACGGCGTGGTGACTGCATTTAAGTGCTTCCGCTAATTCACGAGTGGTAGCATCCGGATTCAACTGCAGTTCGCGGCGCAAATCGTCATCATTCACTGCGGGTGGTCGCCCTGAGCGTGGCTGACTTTCAAGGCTCCTGTCTCTTGATTTAAAACGGTCAAACCATCGGGACACCGTCGCATGGCTTGTACTTCCAGCGCCTAATGCATTGTTGATATTGTCAGCCGCAGCCCGCGCACTGTGGGCTAACAAGTACTCGTATAAGTATAGTGTTCGAACTTGTCGCTCGTCCATTTTTCTTCAAACTGACTAAACAAACCGCGAGCGCGGCTTTATATACCCTACACCAGAAGTACCTAGAATGTTCTACAACATTCTAGAATATTATCGAAAAAATTGATTTTAAAAAGGAAATGTTATAGATTTTTCTAATGTGTCTCATTACTTTTGTGCCAACCCAATAGTTTACCGACTCCTTGTCTAGGCTGTTAAGAGTAGTTGAAATGTAGAAATACTATCGATAGTGATTCACAAAATTACGACGGAAATTCTGGTAATGAGAAGAACCGGCAAGAAAAATTCAACTATAGTACCTTGTAACTATAATTACATCCTTGATATATAAATATGATTCCATAACATGTATGTCACACTCAAATAACTTTAGATAAATGCTTCTGAATATGTGATCTGTATTATTGACTTACTGTGGACGATTGCACGCTTCGGCGGCCAGATAGTGTCCAGTGGCGAGATGCTTGAACCTGAATATAGAGTTCCAATGGCCCGCGCCGCCGCGGCACGGATCGTGTTGTACCACCTTTATTAAACAATCACTCTTATATATATATAATAGTATTTAATTTTGCTAGATAAATATTCTAAAATGCTCAACCCGAACATTTTTTTTTATAATCCGATTTACAAAGCATTACCCTTACTATGTGCACCTGTGAGTGGATGATGTTTGTCAACAAATCCATTTATAAATATTTAGCAAATAAAAATTTCAATTATTAAAAACCGTCGTTATAAAAAATAGTTTGACTGTGTATATTACATATTTATTTAAATTTGCATATAAAATACAAATAAATTTGTAATAGCCAAATGGTCAGTTGCATAAACGTCCATTTACGTTTAATGGCGCCAAATTTGTATGGGTAATGTCGCTTTATACTAATGACAATTTTAATAGAAATTTGTGCAACAGACTGATAATTACTTAAATCTAACCTCAAACCTTCTTACAATTTAAAACATCAATACTTGTAATGAAAATTGTAAGGTTTTTTTTTTTAATAATTATGTATTTGCTAAATCATTTGCATTTTTTTTAAATTAATGTTTCCGTAATAATCAAACTTAACAACTTATGTTATTTGAGCAATTTTTGCATTCACAATGCTATACTGAAAAATATTCTTTGATGAAATACGCTCTGTAGTAGCGAAAAATAACAAGTGCTTGAAAAATTCGACAGTCCTGTTAGGTGCTGGGTAGCTGGTTGTTAGGGCGGTCGCCTAGATTGCGAAAGTTCATGAGTTTGAGTCCCATCTCAGAGTGCCAGGGACAAAGTGGATTTTTCAAGCATTTTTTATTAAGAATTGTAAACTTAACTATTATTAAATTATGTATTTTTCTGACTCGGGTTTATTTCTTTCATTGATAATAGATTTTTTTCTGAAATCCTGTTTTACGCATTGACCTCAAAATCGATGATCTCAATTAGAAATGAAGCCAATAATATAATATGTAACCTCGATCTCCCAGAGCGCCTTGCTGCTGGTGGCGGCGGTGGCGCTGGAGCGGCCGGTGGTGCGCAGGAACACGTGGTGCCGCTTGCGGTACTCGTCCATCGTCAGGAACTTCTCCTGCTCCGCGTGGAACAGCCGCACCACGTCGCCACCCTTCAGGATCTCCTCCTGGTTCTCCTTGTGCTCCAGGAACAGGGTTACCTTCCATGACGTCGATGAGTTCACTACATTCACCTAGTAGAATACGAAACCCGATTTTAATACAACGCCTTCTCAAAATATAATAGTAAATGAGAATTAATGAGTAGTAACTTTGACATGCGTTGAAAGTCGCCTTCTGCATCGAAAACAGACCGCGCTTACTACAGCGCCATCTGTCTCCTCAACTTCAGGGCGCTTTGTGGATATGTATTCATCGGAAAATCTCCGGGTAGGTCTTTAAACTAACTGTATATATATTAACCTCCATAGAGCCGACATTGTCAGGTAACTCATGATTGTGCGATACGTGTAAGACTTGTTGACCTGCATTCACGGGGTTCATTATCACCTTGTCGCCAACCACCACGTTGTCTCCTGTTGGCAAAACAAATACTTTGACACCCACTGGTCCGGAAAAACAGGCAAAGACAAAAATGTTATAAGAAGAGGGAATCTTGCGTGTTAAGTAGAAGCACTACCGCCTCACTGCAGTGTGATACGGCCTGTAACTTTACTGATATGTGTGAATCAGGCTTTACTCAGTGATATTATTAACAAATTTATTTTTCCGTTTTTCACACATTCTAGCATTAACGATACTAGTCAAAAATATGTCGGTAACTTCACAAGTTTAAATTAAACTACCAACATAAACAAAGTAAATATATAAAAAAACATACTCACCAGTGGACCGGAGTTTATAAAAAGGCATTACATAGAACCACGAACCCTCATTACCATTGGCATCTAGATGCACACGCATCGCGTTTTTCTCTAACAAAGCGGGTAATCTTTTATTTACCTGAAAATAATTAAATTAATATCTATACCTGAGTCATGTTCTCAAAAAGTATAATGTATGGTGACCATTAAAACAATTATTGTTAGCGTTTAAGCTACGTCTGGCAGGACGTGATTACGTTATTCCGCTTGTTTTTATTAAAAAACAAAACCGAAATGATACTTGAAAAAGTCAGAAATAATAATTACAGTGAACCCCCAGTAATCCGGCCCCTGTCTAATCCGGCGCCCCCTGTAATCCGACATGTCCGAATATTTTTTGGTAGATACGTAATGCATGATTGAACAGGTCATAATTTGTGCGCGCCACCATTATTGCGCTCGACGCGTAGGTTTGTTTGTTTATTACGTACATTTGTTTGTACACAATTATTTCCTAATGCAAATTATTATTTTTCACATTACTCACTCGCATCACTTTTACATTATATTAATACGTAAGCTCTATATTATGTTTTTTAATTTACCTACTAGATTCGATATACATAATGAAGTATGATTTGTACTTCAGAGTAATATAGATATATACATAACATATAGATCTTTATCACTGATCTGTAATTAAAAAAAAAAAACTATAGGGCGTATTTGGCAGTACTCTATAATCCGACAAATTCGATAGTCCGACACTGCCCTGCAAAACGTTTGTCGGATCACCGGGGGTCCACTGTAATTTCTATTGAACTCGGGCAAAACTGTTCTGTTCTCTTTTGAAGTTAAAAGTCAATTCTATATATTTTTTTAAGTGAATAGGTAGTCGTTTTATTGTATAAGTATCATGAAACTATGTAAAGTCCTCTTTTTGAAACCTTGCCCTAACTAAGTGAAACAAATACTCTTCCGAAAACCACATCAAAACCGGTCCAGCCAAATGTAATATGATCGCGAATAAACACACGCACAGGCTTCTTTTTTGAAGTCTGTTATAAAACAACACAGGAATACAATCTTATAAAATTAGATGGTCACCGGCACAGGTAATTGAAATATAAAAAGAAATACACTCACAGTGAGGTATTTGTTGGACTTGACGTGCAGCAGCTGTATGACGCTGCCGTACTGCACGAGTGTGCCCAACAGCTTCTTGTTCTCCATATCATTTTGTTTCTTCTCGATTTCCGCTGCATGCTATAATAACATGTAACTTATTGAAATTGCGAATAAAAAAAAAACTAAAAGAGAGCACGTCACTGAATCAGTCAGTCCAGTCGTTCAAGAACAGTCGTTGAGAAAAATAGACACGCTTTGCCAGAGGTCGGCAACCTTAAATGATGGAAGAACGATTGAAAGATTTCATGGTTGCTGAATTACGCATCAATCACATAATTTAAAGGAATTCAATAGTAAAATAATATTTTCTTTACAAATGGAACTTGAGAGCCGCAACTTTATATCGAAAGAGGCACTTTCAGCTCGCAGAACAAGTTGCCGACCCCTGTGCTAAGCATGTACAAAGAGCTTAAAATGAAATAAAACCTTTATTAACTTTTCCTAAATTAGGTTTTAATTGATAAATAATAAACAGTCACATTATGAAACTTTTTCATATTTTATAGTTCAAAAGTTTTGAAGTTCAATCGAGTGTAACAAGTTAAGCAAATATTAAACACGTAATAACTTTAATTTAAAATTATTGAAATAAAACATAAAGTACGAACGAATCATGTCAAGTTATTACAAAATAAGTTCAAAAACTAAAACAATAACGTATGACACAACAGTTTGTTTTATTATGATCAGTGGCATATGACTACGCTGTCCTTTGGTCACCACTATTACTATAAAATATATTACTATTTTCCAACTTTCAACAGCGTTATTTAGTGTAGTCGGGTTTAAGTTTTTGAACACTTTTTTCAGTTATATAAATATCTGAAACGTATATATGAAATCCATTTAACCGAATATAAAAAAAATAAACAACGGAACTTCAACGTACTTATTCGAGTAAGATTGGATGAAACTCATTTCCCGTGCGAAACTTTTGAATCTGTAAATTCATAAAAAGACGGAGACGAGGAGACATTTCTTTTCAAGTGCTATTTAAAACAAAACTTCCAACGAATAATATATCGTGCAGCAATTCATGGGTCTTACAATATAAATACATAATAATAACTGTGAGATTCGCCTGTATATCCTTTCGCAATATTTCTCAAATTCATCAACACACACAATTGTTTTGTAAAAAAAGCTTTTTAAATTATTTTCGTTCTTTTGAAACGCTGGCATATTTTAAAAGTCATAATAAAACGGTAAATCCATCAATAAAAAAAGCAGCTAGATCTCTAAAAATAATGACATCGAAAACGGTGCAGTCATAATTCACCAACCACACAAACCGCGCCCCACTTACAAACTAACTAATTAATAAACATAACTAAAAAAATAACTATAACGATATGGCGTCAAATCATTGCAACACCGCATTTGTGTCGCCATAATGTCGCTATAAAAATAGTACCACACATTTAGCTGAGAAATTCATTCAGTTCGAGAAGATTTATATAGGCAATTGAGGATAAGAGACCTATCAGTCAACAAGACTGGCCATTCCTTGGACGGAATGATGTATGCTTACGTTATTTATCTTTGATTTGGGCCGGTAACGATCGATCACACGAAGTCGTGCCAACGGACACATCTGTTGATTTATAAGAGACCGAATGGGGATATGAAGACGCTCTAAGAATACACAAACAAATTTATTACTAACAGGAGGATGAGAAATTAACTGTATCATTTGGGGTGAATGGAATAGTTGTCTTATGATTGAACAACTGTTTATATTGTAATCATAATAAAATATATACGGAAAACATGAAATCAGTGCAAAAGTTTCAAATCAGTGCAGTTTTTTTTCTCTTTTTTAACCTGCTAACATTTATTTAAAAATAAGAAAATGTTTATAGACATTATACTACTAACGAATAATGTACGTACTGTATTGTATTACTGAAAAAAATAATTACGAACAAGATGAAAGAAGCTGAAATGATGGTAGAAACGGACTTCCCGAATACGGACTCTATGGTATGCGTTACACCGTTACACGAATCCACACTCGTCTCCGCGTGTGGGCAACGTCAACAAGTAGGTACGACGTAACAACAGGGACGACAAGAACAGAAGGGAACTACGGTTCCCTGAATGTTAAACCAAGTGTATCGTGAGTCAGCAGAAGTAGGTTCGGCAGCCTTGACTATAATACAGAACAAACCTTTAAAACACTAGTCGAAGATGTAAATCTGCGAACCCGAATTCACTCAGGTTTTTACTGCGAATTTTATTTTTGTATAAAAATACAATACAACATTGATTGATTCATACGTCTCAGATATTCTATTTCTATGTCATAATAAGCAATTCAAGGTTGAGCGGATGCCGCTTTTGAAGTGAATTCGGATACCGAATGAATTCGGGTTCGGATTTTTACAGAATCGCAAGGCGTTCTCGGAAATTACGAAAAATGCATTATTAAATACTTGTAATGCCAAGTATTAGACATCAAATCGCGTCTAATATTATAGGTTACGAATTTATTACGAAAACCGATTAAAAAATACTGTCAATTTTCGGAGTCGATAGGTACTTAAAATTTAATTTTAAGTATGTAATATCATCTAACATTTATTTTTTATGATTATTTCATATAAGTTTAAAACACCTACATTGTGAAAAAACGCATGCACATTCTGACAGATGCCTCTCTTTTGACAACACTGACACAAGACTAATGATAGAAGTGAATTGCATCAGTGATGTGCCGAATATCCGTACTCATATCCGCAGATATCACAGGAGAAAGATCTGCATTAATCTCGAAAGGATCTTATACGTTATCAAATTTCACTAGATGCCTATATCATATATGTTAAAACGTAATTAGATATCAATTAAATTCAAATAAGATTGAATTGTTTTTGTAAAGTGAATTGTTATTTAGCCCAACCATCAATCACAAATGTAAAGCAGTGGACAAGTGTTCGTATAGCTAATAATAAGGAAACATAAAAACATGGGACGCCCACCTTACCCTAGTATCGCTTCGAACAGAGTACGAGACGCCGAATCTGGCTCATACTTCTTTAATTACTTGTATCTTTTCCCATTTTTCAAATATTTAAACACAACGTGCACATTCTAGCCCCACATGACACGATAAACTGAGTGACGGTTTGTTGCACAAACGTCCGTTAAGTTATAATGACGCCTTTAGGTTCTTATGAACGTCAAATTTGTCGCTTTAAATTAATGGCAATTTGAATGGACTTTTGTGCAAAGGCTGTGTGACTTATGAGAAAATTGATGTATTTAGACACCAACGATCAGCGTCGTATACGTATCCGCGGATTTTTTTTTTTAACGGACCCGCACATCTCTATTTACAATAAGTATTACAATAACGTCGACGTGATTCAATACAGAATCAAAAAACAAACATTACTTATACAAAATTCCGATCGATAGAGGCCATTTTTATCTGTCGACGAAAGCTATAGAACACCGCTCCTGCCGTCGGCCGCGCCATCAACGCCGGAACTAGGCCATCGCATTCAATAGATAGATTTATTTTCACAAATTTTAACTCAAGGACATCACTGATTCAACTACCCGGTGCGATAGAAATTGTTTAACCACCTATGTTATTATGTCTAGTATTTTTGGAGTCTTTAACTAGTTTAAACCATTATCTTACCAAAATAAGTCAACCCTTCTCAATTTGATGTTTTCTCTTCTGTCATTGTTAGTTGGTTTAGGCGGCCAATGTTTTATACCAAGTATTAACTTTAGCCTGCATTTCAAAATAATACATTTTGTATGAAACTACAAGGCGACTGTCACTCGAAAACCATTAAGTTAATCATCTGTCAACTTACGTGTAACCTCTTCAGCAGTCCAGTGTCAGTATTGGAGTTTGCGGACTGCTTCGCGGTGTTCCAGAACTGCTTCTGAGCAGAATACCGGTTCATGGGGCATATCTTAAACAGGCAATCTGGAAATATTTATACTATTAGTTATATCCTATATGTGGAAATTCATAATTGGCCTTTTCTTCATTTTTACTACAAATTCTTCGAATTATAGTTTTCTGAATAAAGGAAAAATGTCTATCTATTAGTCATAAATCAAGCATCTCATGAAAGTGTGCGCTAGAATGTGACCATGGTGGAATGTCAGAAAATGTATTTGTCAGTTCCGACGTTCCGCGACGCATCCTCCGTCAGATATGCACCTACTCTAACTCTACCTTTAAACGTTATAAGGGAACAGATGAACATTCTTACTTACATACCGGCCATAATCATAACCCTCATAGTCTGTTCGCCGTCGTCGGGTAAAAAATGATAAATAATATTAAAGTCGGGCGGAGGTCTTCTGTATGTTTATTAATTAAATGATACTCGCTCGACTTCAATAACATTTTCCTTATTAAGTCGCTTTTTATATATGTATTATTTATCATCTTTCTAAAGTTTTAAGTCGGTTTTATTTTATTTAAGTTTTTATTTCATGCTTTTTATTATATTGATATTTTTATTATAATAAATAACTAATGTGTTCTGTGACTAAAAATATTAAATACTAGCTTTCCGCTAGCAGCTTCGGCCGCGTGTTTTTTTCGGTAATCGATTCATATCATGACACGATGACACGGATATAATTACAATGACAAATCGTATAGTAAACAACCGTCACTATGGCAACGTGTTCATTCCCTATACAGACTTCCACTCTCATATATAATCCGCTATTTGCTGTTTTTGGGATAAAATTTAGCATTTGTTCACTGCATATGATGTAACTAAGTATGTAAATAGGTGAAAGAATTTTTTAAATCGGTCTAGTAGTTTCGGAGCCAAACAATCAAATATTTCCTCTTTATAATATAAGTATAGAATACAGATTCAGATCTATACAAATAAAAATATTCAACACAGTGAAAGTCTTAGAAAAGAAAATTTTGTTTATTCGCTCGACATATTTTATTCCGATAATCCTATACTCATATTATAAAGAGAAAAGATTTTATTGCTTGTTTGTTTGCATTGGATAGGCTCCGAAATATAAAAGTCTTTCATCTTTGTCCACGCGTTGGACATGGGCTATAATTAACGCAGGCGAAGTTGCGGGGAATCAGCTAGTTTGATAGAAATCGGTTCACAAATTCAAGCAGAAATCGATTGACATAGTACCATAAAAATATACAAACAGCTTGAACATATAAAAATCCTCCTTTCGGATTTTGAATGAATTCTAAATAAGCAAAAAAAAAATTGAAAATCGATCAACAATTAGCGTATAAATATCAGTGAACATACATAAAAAAACATACATCACCGACGAACATATAACCTCCTCCTTTTGTAGTTTGAAGTCGGTTAAGAAACCGATTTCTATGCGATTACTGTTTCATAGATTGCTAGTTGCACTGATGTCCATTAAAATTGATATTAGTTTAAAACGACATTACCCATACAAATTCGACGTTCATTAGAGCTTAAAGGCGTTATCAAGACTTAATGGACGTTTGTGCAACTGACCGAGAAACTTTTAGATATGTTTTTTATTCGGGTTATTTAAAACTTTCAGTGCATTTAAATCTTCCTTTTAAATAGTTTTAGACAAACAATTTATTATCCAACTGTAATTGGTAAATGAATATGTATTTGCATTGAAAAATATCAAAGTAAATAAATACAAACCCCGGAACTTTTTGGGCGGATCAGTCAGGTCACCTGCCTCCGGGCAGACAACACATCTGTCATCTACCAACCTGTTGAAAACGATAAAAAATGTTTTATTCTCTTAGGTCCTTCACAAAAAAATCACTAAACGGATTTTTGTGTCACAAAACGGATAGATGGGTAGCTAAAAACCATAGCAGACTAAATCCATTAACTTACTAATCGACTGTTTCAGGTGCCCGATATAGAATTCAAACCCATTATTTTTCTCAATTCGGGCGCCGCTCTTACCAAATACTTGTAGCGTGAAGTTAGTGAATATCTTTCAAATGCTAAATTTAAAGAGTTGCGATAGATTTCAAAATTAGACAATCAGGCAAATCATAATATGATTAATATCAGAATATTATCGGCTATATCTATCTTTACCAGTAATTTAATTCTCCTTTAACTTTACCATCCGTTTGGATTCCCTAAGATTTGTCCTAATTCCGTCCACCTGTCCGGGTAGACCTTTGCATATTGTCCGGGCAAAGGTCACTGGGTGGAATTAAACTCGGTAGTGGACATTAATGAAAATGTTATCAAATTATAGATAAGAAACACACTTGACATTGTATAAAGTTATTTTATTTAAATTCGAAGGGAAAAATAGAACCCAAAAAGGACGTTGACTATTATTATAATCCTCAAAGAATTTAAATTTTGAGATTCCATTTCCTTATACTTTTTTCTATCATTCCTCTTTTACGTTTAAACTGTTGGTCTCTGGAATCAACTTCTAGTTCGAGTTCTTTTGTATTTCCATAAAATTTTTGAATTCCTTTGTTTTCCCCCTTAGGCATAAAATTTCCACAAATCCTGAATTAGGTACTTACTATTATTTATAAGTAATCTAAGGGCGCTTGTGCACTACACTGAATTTTCAGGTCCGGCGGTCCGATTTTTTCCGGTCCGGAATGACATGAAAAACTCGGATGAGTAGCTTGTGCACTTGTCCGTTTTTTTCCTGATCGGAGCGGCGCACACTGGGGCAAGATCAACGAAATCTATACAAAAACTAAAAAAAAATAAAACCAAGCTAGCGGGTAGCTTTGCATGCCATAACATAGTGCAATAGCTGTGACACATCACTGTGGGGAGAGGGACGCCATTCCCCCGCCCCCCACTTTATACTGCACCGGTCAGTCCGACCCAATCGCTCGTGGTGTTTACATGTGTGATTCGTGCGTCAGGCAACTTCAAAGTGTTTTTTATTTTTTCAAAAATCAACCAGTTATAAACCAAAATAAAATATGGAGGCGTCAAGTTCAGGTATGTATAATATTATCTAAACCTTGATATGCGTATTTTCATACAGGTTTCTATTCATAATAATAGAGTAAATATATGCTTAAGAAATTAAATTAAAATTAAAAACACGATAAAGTTACCAGTTATTTATTTATGTGCCGGGGCTGGTCGGGCTTACATTTAGATGTTTTTAGAGGCAGTAACTATTTTAGTTTATGATTTCATTTTAAGTTTTTGCCCATATTTGCCCCAATTGAAATAAATGTCTATATAAACTAGAAAGGTTCCCATACTAAAAATCAATAGTTTTTATTATTAAATATTTATTATATATTTTTTCCACAGGTACGGCATCTAATGCCTATTTTGTGACAAGACGTGACTTGCTCATGATCATGAAGAACTCTGGACACAACAAACTTGAAGATCAAATAAATTGTCTTCGAAAGGAAATCGAAAAAAGGACAGAATGTATCGGTGAATCTCAGAAAACTATTTTGCACACAATAAAACGTTTTAAATCTGAATATAAGTCAAGATGGGAAGCAGCAAAGCGTATAGAAAGTAGGTTTTGTGAGAAAAATACCACGTGGCTAGATTCGTCGATTTCTTTTCCAACAAATAAAAGGAAACGAAGCACTTCTGGTTCCGGTCGTCCAGCAATACCTTTCGAGGAAAGTACAGACAGAATGAAACGGCACAAGACTGAAGATTTGAGAAAATCTACCCCTCTGCCTGAGCTGATATATGCAACAAAAATGAAATTGAAAGCTTCGGGACAAGATGCAGCATCCAAAATAATTACCGATGTTTTATCGAGTCCATCAAAACCGAGGAAATATTCTAAAGCCTATCGACAATCTCTTGAAAGTGTTGCCATGACTGGAAAAGATGCTGTGGGTCTTTTAGTGGAAGCAAATTTATCTCGTTATCAATATAATGTATTAAGAACAAAATCTCCAAAAATATACCCGTCTTATAAGACCGTACAGGCTGCAAAAAAACAATGCTATCCGAATCAAAATAAAATTAGTGTTAGTGAAACTTCCGTCCACGTTGATCTGTAAGAAATGCTCGACCTTACTACAGAGCGTTTGATCTCTGTTCAAAGAGAAGTGTTACTTACATTGGATAGTGACGAGCTACAAAATGTGACACTGATTTCAAAATGGGGATTCGATGGCAGTAGTGGCCATAGCTCCTACAAACAAGCTTTTTATGGGTCCGAAGCCAGTGATGCAGCTGTTTTTATAATAAGTTTTGTTCCTCTTCGGATGGCCTCTGGATCGAAGATTATTTGGCAAAACCCTAGATCAAGTTCAACGAGATACTGTAGACCTTTAAAAATAGAATTTGTCAAAGAAAGTACCACAGTTTCCGTAGAAGAAAAGAAAAGGATGGATGATCAAATAAAAAATCTTATTGCGAGTAACGTAACTCTAGATGGACAAAATATAAAAGTAAATCATTCTATGGTTTTTGCCATGATTGACGGGAAAGTTTGTAACGCGGTCACAAACACGACCTCAACACAAAAGTGCTATTTATGCGGAGCCACGACCAAAGACTTCAATGATATAGAGAAAGTGCTTTCCAGACCAATTAATACCGAAAATTTGGGATTTGGAATTTCCGTGTTACACGGATGGATACGTTTCTTTGAGTGTCTTTTACATTTGGCGTACAGACTTCCGATTGAAAAAAAAACAGGCTCGGAAAAACAAGAAAAACTCTGAAGGAGTTTCAGACAAAGATATAGTCGAGGAAACAAAAAAAAATTACAGGTTGTGTTCAAAGAAAGGCTAGGATTGATAGTAGACAAGCCAAAGCCAAGTTTCGGCAATTCTAATGACGGGAACACAGCGAGAAAGTTTTTTCAAAATGCCGTTATATCCGCAGAAATAACCAATCTAGATGTGCGATTGATACAGAGAATGCATAATATATTAATTGCTGTTTCATCTGGCTATGAGATTGACGTGGAAAAATTCCGCACATATGCGACTGAAACTGCCAAATACTTTGTGCAAAAGTACCCATGGTATGATATGCCGCCCACAGTTCACAAGTTTTTTATTCATGAACCAGAAATTATCAAAAACGCACTATTGCCAATTGGACAATTAAGTGAAGAGGCCCAAGAAGCACGAAATAAAGATTTCAAAAAATTCAGGGAACATCATTCTCAAAAATGTTGTCGGGAAAAATCTAACAGAGACATTTTTAACTTCTTTCTGTTATCTTCAGACCCAGTGATAACTAGTAAAAGGCAACTGCCAAAAAAGAAGATAACTTCACTTCCTAATGAAGTTCTTCAACTTATACTTGCTCCGGCTATACAGCCAAGTGAAGATTCTATTGATACTGATACACAAATTGATGACGATGATACTGATTGTAGCGAGGAAAGTGATTAGGGTACATATATACCCTAATCACTTTCCTCGCTACAATCAGTATCATCGTCATAATACATATATAACAATATATAAATATATTTGATTATACTATTTTAAATATTTTTCCGAGTTTTTATTGTATTCCCTGTCATTTAGAAATATTTACTTCGATCCAATAAAGCGTTATGAATAAACGATACTTTTTAATTATCTTGCCCCAGTGTGCGGCGCAGTGTAGTGCAGCTCTCTTTGAAGCTACACGTCACTTACGCTAGGTACGATGAGATTTTTGGAACGTCGGTAATTCCGTTCGAAGACGTAGAAAGGTACCTAAATAATGATCTGATCGTTTTACATAAACCATAATAAATTATGGCAAGACGAATGCATTTTTTTTACTGCTATCGGATGACTACTATCTGATGTAAAAACTTATACCCTTACTTATTTAGGAACAGCATTATTCACATACTCTATGTTTAGTACTTGATGTTTAAATTTTTAAACGTGCAATTTTATTTTGAAGTTTTGTAAAAACAACTTTCAGCGATTACAGAGATAGACCAATCGGTGGCGCCATTTCGTAAACAAATCGAAATTAGTGACGTGTTAGCGGAGAATTATTATGCTAAATGAACTTTACGAGATCAGTTGACTGTATTATATATAGGCATAATTTTTATACGCGTGGTGTAGTTTCTTTGAGCAGAAATATTTTTCCCTTAGAATACTTCTTTTTTAAAATTTATTAATGACACAAACAATTTTATTAAATGCGAAAAAGACATTGAGTGTCACTTAATTACTTTTGTAAATCTTCTGTTTATTCTTTATTATTACTTCTGTTGTCGAATATTTATCTATACTTATCAATTGTCTAAAAAAAAAATTGATAATAACAGATTTCCAGGCAAACTTTCATCCCCTATTTTTCGCGATAAAATGTAGCCTATGTCCTTTCTTAGAGTTAAGTCTATTTACTATATTAATTTCCATTGAGATGGGTTCAGTTGTTTAGGCATCTAAGCGTAACAACACTTATTTATCTTACCTTAAACTATCGATACTTTTAATACGATTCTAAAATCTAGCTAAGTATCGATACTAGAACCATACGCTGATCAAATTAGAACTTTACCGAGTTGTGATATATACCAACTATATTGAATCATCATATAAAATATAGCATTTTATAATCAACAATAAATATCGATTATAAGTTTATTGGAAATTAACTATATTGCCGAAATAAATATCGATTCAAATCGATTATTTTTTCCCAAGCCTATTCCTTATGAATTTTCCGGATCTCGGACACAGCAGTGCACAAGCGTAAACACGTTTTTCATTGCCGCCATCACGAACCTGAAAAAACCGATCCGGAATAGAGAAAAGTAAAATTCCGGACGGTAAAATTCCTGACAGTGCACAAGCGCGCATTACCTACATATGGCCTGACATATCGGACCTGAAAAAATCGGACCGCCGGACATGAAAATTCAGTGTAGTGCACAAGCGCCCTAAAAGTAAAGTTTCACATTTCTAACTTCAAAACTGACGGACTTTCATATAAACTTTCAAATTTTTTTTCACCCCCTAAGAAGTAAAATTTCCACATACGCTAGAAAAGGTTTTTTATTAATTAAAATATAGTTTCACGTTTCTAAACACAAAACTGACGGAGTTAATAATATAAACTTTCAACCCCTATTTTTAGGGATTTAATTTCCCAATAATCTTCATTAGTCAGTACTAGGGAATGCAATCTCGTTCTCGCGAAATCTCGGCCTTTTTTAGTGAGATTGACCTCGGTAGAAAAATGGGCGAGCACTCGCGCGAATTTATGCGAGTCCGGGGGGTTAATAGGCGAAGTTTTACACTTTTACAATACTTGTTTTCGAAAGGGTCTTCTCATTCTCAGTGGCTGGTTATCTTGCCAGCACTATAATAAGACGAATAGCAAAGATTCTTTAGACATTTTGTGCTTCTTAAGAAGTTGATTTTAAAATTATTCGTAATAATGACATGTGAAGTGAACTGAATAAGCTTTTAAATTGATTGGCATATTTTTTCAATTTATTCTATAATTCTAATAGATCTCTGGGTACACATAGTTTTCTTTCATTGATAATAATCTTAGATTAATATGTAATCAATTAAAGTTGCTTAGTGAGTTTTATTTTAGTTTTTGTTATTTTGTTATAAACAAATGTGTATTATAATTAAACTTTTGTTTGAAATTAACAGAGAAGACTGGTTGTTTATTTCATATTATTATTAGATACGTCAAAGTTTTGTTTCTAAAAAGATTAGTACCTGGATGACTAAGCTTTACTTGGCACTATTATAAAATACTTAATGTCATGAAAAAATATAATTGCGTCAAACAATGTTAATAACATAAAACTTTATTGAAAATACCCGTAAAAATAAATGTTTATTTCATAATACCTATATTTTTTCGTAATTTGTTTAGTTATTTGAATAAATATTACAGTAAAACAGTAAACACACAAAGTGCCAATCTCGAGAGATCTCGTAATTTGCGAGATCTAGAGACTATTGGCGTTATTTATAATATTACAGTGAACTCACCCTAAGGTACTCAGGAATCCTGCTACAGAGCCCTCTGCATAGAGGGAAACTATATCCCCCAGGTGCAGAAAGCTGTCCCCCATGTTGGCACCTGCTCCGTACCTCCACCATGCGACAACGCCTGTTGGCAAAGAAAACAACATCGCCAAAAGTAATTAACAGCAATATTTATTTATTTACTTAACACTTCATACACAAGGTTCTATTATGAAATTGATTTATGAAAAATATACACGACATGAAAGCACTAGGAGTGCAGAAAAATTATAGCGCTGAAAAGGAATTGTGTTGAATGATACAATTCTTACAAATTAAGATAGTATGCTAAGATAATGTGGCTCGCGAGGTGAAAAAAGTGACGCTTTGGCAACGTTAAAAAGGCGTGTAATATTACCACTTCCAACAACGGAGATGCATCGGAGTGAGCATAGATTAAATCGCAACACTCAGACCAGAGACAATATATAAAAGATCATTCTTTATATTGACCTGTATTGACCCGACCGAGAATCGAACTTGGGCCCTCAAAGACGGCGATAACGGCGAGCGAACCAAATATGAAAAGTATGATGAATATGAAAGAAGCAAAAGAGGTGTGTCTGAATCGTACTAAACGCATATATATATTTGAGATGTAAACATAGAAATACAAATTCGAAAGGAAACGGCTTTTACTCGCAACTAATTCTATAAACAAACGAGTCTATCCAAAATAAAATATATTCAGAATTTAGAAGTTCAAATATCGCCCGCGGCACCATTTGTTCTGTACCTATAGCTAGATCGACTTTTGAGTGTTATCGGGAATTTTATAAATAGTAATGGACTGATTGGGTCTTACTCACTGAAAATACTAACGTGTACTACGTTAGTATTTTGAGTTCAGTGAGTAAGACCATAATGCGGCAAATAGATTTCTATAATAAAACCGATATCTAATTATTTGAAGTTTAATCACTAATGTGAAAATAAAAAATATACATATATATAATGTTACAAATTTTTATTATTTTGGCACAATATAATCGTGGACCTACACTGCGTATTCTTCTTATTTTGTAAAGATACTTCAAAACGATATCGAACTTATAATTAATAACGCAACGACCTCTTTTAATGTATGTTTGCAGATAATCCACATTTTTAATTATCTTAACGAAACAAAAAGAGCCTGATGATTGTGCTTACTTGTTGTCCTTATTTTATGATTAGTTTTTTATTCATACCCCCTACGTACGGAAAGATATATTCGAATGCGTCAATAATAACTCTTTGCTATATAGATAACCTCATAAAGCGTGATTCATTCGAGTCCACTAGATAACGCGGGGCTAACGAAAGTTAATTAAATACTGGTATTTATTGGTCATCCAGTTCCACAAACGGTCTACATACATTAATTAATTAATAACTGCTCTTATTGCGATTCCTCCAATCACTGAAAATTCAAAGTTTGATGAAGTGCAGAACTTATAATAGATGGAATATTTGTTAATTTTATTTTAAACCAGTTTATTTAATTTGCAATAGCACGTCAAAGTCCAAATTATTTATTATATTAAAAAAAACGAATTGGAATCGATTTCAAACTTTCAAAAAGTCACTGTTAAAAAAGTCGGTTCTACTTATTGAAAGAAAAAATCATGCTTGCATTTAAAGGTAACGCTAAAAATGTCATCGATGTATTGACATCATATCTGATAAAAGGCATATTTTGTTATTTCATAAAAAGAGAACCACTGATTCGATTTCGATAGAATTGAAAAGGGAATACCTCGATCCATTATGCTGTCGAATGAAAAAAAATTGAAAAAAGGTCAACGATTTTCGGAAAAAGACGGTGAACATACAAAAAAATATATATATCGCCGTCGGACACGTGACCTCCTCCAGTCCTCCTTTTAAATTTTAAAGTCGGCTAAAAATGTAATCTACAATAACAGAAATTCTCTCTAAACATCAAACTGATGAATGATATATTACCAACAGGGTTACCATTCATTCAGCTTCAATTTAATCCTTTATTTTTAGTTACAAAATATACGAATGTGAATTTTAATTTTTGTTAACACAGGAAATTTCGAGGCAAATAAAATGATGTATTCTATCGTTTTTTTATTAATGAATAGGTTTTCTAAACATGATTTATCTAATATATAAAGTACTATTATTCCGGTCAGGTATAATTGCGAGCTGCCAATATTATTTTGTTAAAAAAAGTTGCCAATCTTAAGAGGTGGGGTAGGCGGCGGCGCTATTGGCTAGTACAAGGTACAAAGGACACGTATTCTTAGTGATGAGAAACATGACATAATGTCGATTAAATTTATTTTTAATTAATTCACATTTGATCACTACATATTATAAAAACAAAGTCCCCCGCCGCGTTCTGTTAAATATCGATGAAGTGTAGCGAAGATGTCGCTCAAAGTATCTTAGTGTACATGAGAAAGGTCATAGGTTGCTTTATTGTGATGAAAGGGTAGATAATAGGGATTTAAAGTTTGTATGGAAGTTCGTCATTGTCAAAGATAAAATCATGAAACTTTGTATTCAGGTATTTTACACGATTTAATGAATAATATATAGGTTTAAGGGTTTTGAGAAATTGGTTGTAACTGAGGATTCGCATACGTGTATTACTACTTTTGCCTTTCATAAGGCATCCATTGGATGTAATGTGTCTGTAAAGTATATTTTAACATATTCTGCCGCCCTGGGCCCCCAATGGGGTTAGCTATTATTGCTGATAAGAATCATAAAATTGATTTTATTTTTGCCCAACAACTTCATTCAATACTCACTTCTTTGAAAACCATATTTATTCGTTAAATTAATCGAAAATTTTATAAAGGACACCTCACTCTCAAGTTCGGATCGATAGATGTCAAATGTGGCTTTTATAATGACCTAACTGTACATATGGTCATTGGTCATTAATTCGCTTCTTATTAAGTCGGGGGTACATTTATTTCGTATATTTATCAATTTTTACACTATTTGTAAAATCTAATTGATATACGGGACATATGTATTTATGTCTGAAATACGGAAAGTCTGGTAACACTAGGTATAATCAAATATTTCGGTATATAACGACCAGTTTAACTGAATCATAATAACTCAACGGCTTTTATAGCTCTATTTTTAACCATCACTTTCTCTTAAAATTCTTTCAGCGAAAACTGGAAACAAAGGAAGCCAACCAAGAGTTATGTCGCAATGTTGTACTTTTCTCGCATCAACCTTGAATAACGGAATAGGTAACAGAGGCGTATTTATCTTATGGCGCAAGCCCCTAACTACCCACATACCAAATTTGGGGTGATCATAATTTTTTTTTATGCAAATTTAAGATAAATGATGAGTATTGCCACAATCTCAAATGTAGTAAATAATATTCTCAGTGCTATTCTGTTGAACATACTGTGTCTTAAACAACGATGTCACAGCGATAGATGTTTGATTTTCGACCCTTTTCATAACTTAGTTTTCAATTATTGGCTATACGTTGTTATCCATCCGTTATTATATAGTTGATCAAACTCACGGTCAGTTGCACAAACGTCCATTAAGGTTTGATGACGCCTTTGACTACAAATGAATGTCAAACTTGTATGGGTAATGTCGCTTTAAACTAATGACTATTTTAATGGACGTTTGTGCAACTGGCTGTTAGTGCAATATCCGGGCGCTTTTTATTTAATTTGTTATGCTCACATCAACACCATCCTACACTCGACCAGAGAAAAAGGAGTACCTAGACAAAACCTTTTTTGAGTTCCACATCTCAAAGTTCAATCTTAATTACCTTTTTGAAGTAGGTAGGATCTATTTGATGGAACCTCTTTGCCGTCACAGCGCTGACTGGCGTTGAGTTCGAGGCTGATATTATAACAGAATAGTACTGCTGAACACAACTTTAAGCGAGAATCGACCCCGGCCCTCGCCGATGCAGAAGCCGTACTAACTCCTTTGTAATAAGTTTTAGGTCCACATTGAACAATAACAAATTGAAATCTCCATATCCATTAGATGGTGGTGGATTACCTTTTCTTGATTGCTTTAGTTTCCTTCATAGAGTAATCGACCTTCTACATTCGTGATAAGATTGTAACTTCGACAATTTCACGGTTCTATTATTAATTATTAAAATATTAAACAACCTCGCACACATTGCTCAGATTACAAGATGAGCAGCTAAAGCCCCAGTATTATGGAGTATCTGAGACAACGAAGGTACCACAACACCCAGAACCGAGACAATATAGAAAAGTTCATTTTCTACATTGACCCGATCGAGAATCGATCCCGGGACCTCAGTGATGGCGACACCTTGAAACCGGCGTGCGAACCACTAGGCTACGGAAGTCGGAGATTATTATTTTAGTGTTGAACAAATTTTACTACCAAATATAGTTAAATATACCCTTAAAGTTAAGGTAATCAACAATTATGTTACTACATAGTTACCACGTCGTAATTCCATAACATAACCACTCTCTTTAATAGTAATTTGAACTTTGTATTTGTTCCAATGGGGAATTAACCTTCGTTTTTCATTAAAAATCAAATTTCAACAACCTCTGTAGCTGAGTACCTCGCGCGAAGGTTTCAAGGTGCCGCCATCTCTGAGGTCAATGTAGAAAATCGAATTTTCTATATTGTCTCTGGTCTGCGTGGATGATTACTATCAGCTACTTCATTTGGGATATGAGCAATGTGTCTCCCTCTATGTAACATAACGTGCATATTATAAAGACGCTTGTTCAATGTAAAATATAATGTAAACGTGTCGGTAACAACTAAGTATTTAAATATAGTAAATTGATCAATCACGACGATGAATGTATCTTCGCTATTATTAGTTTTGTTTACACGTTTGAAGTGATTGATTCCATTGCGTGTCTATCTTTGATGCCGTCTTAACATTTCTTATAATATCTGTGGCATGGTGAACAAATTATATTTAACTAGCTTTCCGCCAGCGGCTTCGCTCGCGTGGTCTTGTATTATACATAAAAACCTTCCTTTTGAATCACCATATCTATGAAAAAAAAAACCATTTTATTTAAGCATACAT